TGTCATCATCAGCCGTCTGTTCTCAATTACTGTTATTCAACGTTTACTCCAACATTTTTATGGCTTCTTTAACCTTAACTTATCTCATACAACCATTTCCCTTATACATACTCATCCTTAAACTATTAAAAACGTTTTGTATTGATTTTCCTTAGTAATTTCCCCTTCCCTTGCATTTCTTTTTCTTCTTTACTTTGTTGAAAACAAAAACTAACCGACATTTTATTAACATTGTTTTCTTGTTTTGTAGGTTGTTGAGTGAAAAGTTCGTAACTTTCAATGCATTTCAAGAGCAAATCACATACAATAAAACTCATGAATAATTCAAGCGGCAAATACGCAATACACATACATACATACATACATACTGATATAGAGCAAGCAAAGAAATGTGAAAATCACAACAATCACGAATACAGGAATAAGTAGGCGGCTTACTTGTTTTTACAAGTCTCTTTCTGTAAGTGTATTGCGGCACGTTTGATTGTGTGGGTGTTCCTATGCTTGGCAACGTCGAACGTCGGACACACGTACGAGTATTTATGACATTGAACGGTGTATTGACTGCAGGAGACGACCAACCAGCCGGTGTTAGTCATGCTTGGGATCTTGCGTGTTTGTATGTGTTTGCTTAAAATGTTTTTAAAAAGTATTTTCAATTTGTTTTGAGATTATTGAATTAGTTGAAATTGAACAGCTAGAACTTCCGCAGGGTCAGCCGGTTTTAGAAGAATATTATATTGCATTTTCATCATTTCTATCTAAAAAGAATGGAAAATGGTTTAAGGACTCCGATATCATCAGAGAAACCGCCGCTTGAAGCAATGTGTTGATGAGAAATACAAACATATCCTCATGGCGATACTCAACACCGGGAAAATCGTACCCCAAAACGAACTGCCAAAAAGTTAAAAACATAGACAGTAAACTTGAAAAAAAAAATACCTCTCTACATAATAACAGTAAGGCAGATGATGGCAGATACGCTAAGCTGTAACTGTAGAGTGTTTCCGACCCACAATTTCCGACCTGATTCGGGCCAAGTACGTTACGGGTATACAAAGCAGATTCGTTTGTAAACGAACTGAAGCAAAAATACGAACTCACTCTCAACAAGTGAGATATCTAGTCTCAACAAAAACTATCCACAAATGGTCTGGGTAGTGAAAGTACACTTTTTCCGACGAACACGTTTCCTACTTTGGACTGAGTGAACATCTGGAAAGCGAATTCCGCCCTCGACAAACACAGGGCAAACTTTACCAGTCATAGTCAAGCGCAGACGAAGACAAGGAGTTTTTTTTCGTTCAAAGGAACAGCGCGATGGAACGATGAAACGATTTAATGTATGAAATGTACGACGGCATTGGCTAACTTGGCGAATAAAGAAACAACCGCTTCGCTGGCTTAGTCCTGTTGTGCATGCTGGCGGAAACATAAGAGATGGGTAGAGTGGAGATAGACTACAAATACCTTGAGCTGTAAGTTCGAATAGCCATCACGTAATCAAGGAACTATAAGTTCGTAGGTCTACCGACCAAGTCTGACAACTTAAGTCTGAGTGTAGTATGCCCATCCAGTTGGCTTTTAGGAAAAATCATCGGAGTTATCAACATAACCTACCAGAAGTATTTCCACCGTTGTGTTAACAGTTAACAGTTAATTAAACGGAACGTATATAAATAACAATTGACCTACCGCACCACGTTTCAGAATAATCCTTACTATGCAACATGCAAAAAAAATGGCACACATATATACATATAATCAAGGTGTACATACTCGTATATATAACAGTATAATCCACCCACTCCAAAGTATAGTATTTACCTCCATACAAAGTAAAGACAACAGGTGTCATGTTACTCATACGCCCTGTCGTCAACCCAGACATGCTTTTAATTACAAATGCAACATATAAAAATAGTGGCAAATAATCTATGTAATTATACACACAATGTCATTAATCTAATCTGACTTTGTTTTGCTTTGTGATTTTTTTCCTTTTTTTTTTGTTTTGTGCTTTTATTTTTATCTAATTTTTCGTTTGTTTTTATTTTTTAGTTTTTTTCTTTATTTATTTTGCCTTTTTTATGCATATAACGCCAACACATTTTACTTTTTTATTTCGTCTGTAGAGATATATGTATCTAATATCCCCAACAACTACGCAAACACAACCCAAGCATGTAAGCGCTTTCATTAGTAGGCTTATAAATGACTCACAGACATGCATTCATATACACACGAGTACATACATACTTACTGGTAAATACAACTGTATAAAGAAACTGCTATAAATTGAAACTGGACCACAATTAGATTGCCAGCAGCAAGTAATGACATTAAAGTAGAAAAATGTTAAGTTTACAAGGAAAAAGAAGGAAAAGCATTATAGCAGTTGGCGGGATGGGCATATTTAAAACCATTTAGTTTTATATGTATTTACTTACGCTGTAAAAGCTTGTATTGAATTCTGCTTATGCTGTTGGCCAAGAGAGATCCTTTCGTTTTTTATATGTTCTTCTTGTATTGTCCGGTGTTTTTTTATTAGTTTTTTGTTTTTGGATTTTTATTTTGTTATGTCTTCATTTACTTTATTTTTATTTTGTTATTTAGAGTTTTCCCATTTTTAATGTGATTTGCGTGTCTTTTGCTACTATACGTTCATTTTGTTAATAAAGTTTTATCTTTTGGACGTGCTGCTCAAATGTCTAACTTGTCATTTTGTAACTGTCCACAACAGGATGGTCCTATATGGGCAAATAAAAATATAATATAAATAATATTAGTGGAAAATGGGTGCAGGCAGGTGTTTGGGTTAACTGAATATTTTTAGAATTGTATAATACAGACTAACAGGCCTATTCTCACTGTTACCGGTAAAATGAATTTGGTATTCTAGCGAACTGGTTACAATGTTTGAAAAAAATTTGGCAGCACTGCTTTTTTCGTCCATGTCAAATTACATTTGCCAGTTGATAAAGTAAAAAGAAAAATATTCACATCGAAATGGACGACGGTGCACAAAAAATTAAAAAGTTTTATTAATTTTTTTATTAAATCATAAATATTTGAACCTAATTAGAGAAAATATGCCTGTACAACAAAAAAAGCTGAATGAAAACGTAATCTTACAAATTAAAGGGCTATTTTTTTGTCTCGAAAACTTCTTAAAATACGGCTTTTTGCACTTTTTTCTTCATCTTCAATGAATTCCAGGCCTAAAATATGCCTACCCGTTTTGGTTTTTTATTTTTTCTCAAGTTTACAACACTAAATCAAACCGCAGATATATTTGTTACCTCCTATTTCGCTGGTAACAAAATTTACAGGGTAACAGTGAGCTCAGAATACGAAATGGTAACAAAATTTACTGAATGGTAAATTTTAATACCTATGTAAATTTTGTTACCTCGACAGAAAAGGCCTGTAAAAGGCTAAATTTATCTAGATGTTTGAAACAAAGAAGGTATTTGTGGCGTATAAGGAAGATTAAAAAATCATTGGTTATATCCTGCTCTCAATGGAACTAGTATTTTTGATACCTTAGAATAACGTGATGTTTACAAAAGATTAAATTAATTAACATTCAAAGTAGGCAAGTTAATTTAAACGTAATTATAAATAGGGAAGACCATGAGATAATTTGGCTTATTTTTAAGTGCCAATTCAATTAGAAGTCTGCCTTAAGTTATGTTTGAACGATTAAAAATCCCAGACATTTTTATGAGCAGTAATATTCCCCAAAGACTTATATTTCCTCTAATTAGCTAAAAAATTGTACATAACCTCAATTTCTCCATTCTCCAGCTACATATCTAATCCCTCCCTTTTTCACACAATTATTTTCTACATTTCCATCTTTTCCAATTGAGTTAAAAGCGGGCGTGTGATTTCATTACATTCCATAGATTCGAAGAGTTGAAGTGTCATTAAAACTAAGCTGTCGGCAAGCATAAAATTCCTTACTTCACTATAATAACAAAAGCAACAACAGCAAAATAGAGAACAAACACGATGCCGCCAAAAGTGCTTATAACCACCCTACAGCTGGAAGTACTTAACTCAAACACAAACTTTGTTTATATACAAAATGGGTTACGCACTTTGCACTGATTTGGCTTTCATTACTTTGGCTCACAACAGTATTGCATATTGAATTTTGTTGAAAGAGTAGACAGATGCGATTAAATGCCATATGCCGGCAGCAAGAGCGGCAACGGAGGAGCAGCAAAGTAAGTGAAATTTTGTTTCTAGTGTTTCCGGTATAGAGTCATAAATGACAGAAAAATAAGAGATTTAACAAAAAAAAAAAAAATTAAATTAAAAAGCGTAAACGGAGTAAATTTTTTAAATAAAATATTTATAACTCATCTCTGTATAAAACAAATATTTTTTAAAAAGGTATCACAAAATTATTAAGCTACATTAAAAAATGTAAACCCACATAATTATTTACGATATCGTTTTTCACTTCACTTCCGACACAAAAGTTTAATAATTAGTTAAAAAAAAACTGTTTTTAACTCCAAAATAATTTTTTTATAATTTTTTTTTTATTACCAGCGTACTATCAACCAATTGCCAGCAAGTCTCAAATATAACTGAACCGTAAAATCCTGCTGCTATCAGCTTTAAAAATGATAAAGAATTGTATAAAGAAAAGCTCATTAGCAGTTTGTTGAAGGCCGGCATTTTTTAGAGCTTTTGAAAGCACTATTGGAAGGCACAGAGCGGTTTAAATTAGTGTAGCATACTTTTAGGTGAACAAATATTTATATGCCTACTATAAGAGAAATGAAAAGAAGGATATTATATTTGAAAACTAAAAATAAAAATAATAAATAAAAAATTAGTCTCACATTGCTAAAATCTAACAAAAAACATTTCGTACGTAATTCTCTGACATATACCTCACCCTGTGTCGATCAGCTGAGCAAGTCAATTGGAAATACGCGGCAACACGTTTGATACATTTTTGTGTAGAGAAAGAGAAGCATAGACAAGCAAAAAAGAAATAGCCGAAAAATAATTGTCTGTTTAGCAGTATTGTACATTTTAAATAAGGAAAATTTTCATTTATTTCAATACTATTATTTGTGAAAGACAAACCGCTTTTGCGGCCCACTATCAGTGGAATCCGGTGCAAGTAGTTTGTGCATGATATCGTTGAGTGCACTGCTAACCAAATATACGCTAAGCATCATGAACAACTTGGGACACAATCAGCCAACGGGTGGAGCAGGTTCAGGTGCAAGTGCAGGTAATGGCGGCGGAGGAGTAGGTGTTAACGGCGGCGGTATGGGTAATCATTTAGGAAATGTTATACAAAATCCAGCAGCAGAAGGTAGCATGGAGCGCGGCAGGTAGGAAGTAGCTTGTTTAACAACTTTCAATTTTCGTTACTTTTTTTTTGAGTGTTTATAAAAATTTAAGCCCAATTATTTATGTATTACGTTATTTGAATATAATATAAAAATTCTTATCGTATTAAACTTTTAAATTATTTTGAAACAGTTGCTTACTACGTTACGCCAGTCAAAATTCTCTAGATGAAAGTTCACAAAAGCATATACAACGTCCAAATGGCAAAGATCGCACCGTTGGACAATATCATAATGAGCAGCATACAGCCCGTTCATTTGAGGCCATGAACGAGATGCGCAAGTAAGTATAAACAATAAAATTTAAAATTTGCAAATGGCTTATTCTCATATTCAAGGCAGACAGCTATGTACATATGTCTTGCCAAAAAATTATACTCGTGTACAAATTTACCAATAATTTATGCATTATTTGTGCTGCTAATTAGAATTTTTGAAAAGTTTGTCGCCTATATATATTTGTATATGCCAAGCGTCAGTTTATAATATGTACACAACATAAAACCGCCGGCAATCGACATTGCTTGCGGGAGATAATAGATAGATAGCAGCTGTTGTGTGCCTTTTTCATGTCTGTTTCTACGCCTTGGACTAGTTGCGCAAACAATTACTCGGTATTTTGTTTAATTACGACGGCAAGCTTTTGTTTTCACTCTTAACTTGTTCGATCGAAGCGAACAATTTTATATCTATGTTCGAATGTATGTATGTTACAAACGAAGCTAAAACGTGTTTTGCGTGTAATATGACTTTGCATCTTTTATTATACAAAAGTTATTAGTTGGATTTGGTAAACCAATCACATCGTCTTATAGGAAATAGTATTTTCCATTATGAATATGTATGCATTGTATGTAGGTAGTGTTGTATTTTTGATATGTATGTATGTTGTTGTTATTGTTGTTGTAGCTGCTAATGATAAGTATATTTTTAGCCGGTTAGTCGGTGTGCGCTAGCTGTAGCGTATTTGAACTTCATCCAAGGCTGCATATAATATTCAGCTAAGTACAATATAAATATTGATATTTTCGTAAACGTACACATAATACGCCTTGAACTTGACTGCCCCCTAAGGAGACTTGCTAAGTGTTTTATTTTCGCTACTGCCTCTTTATATTTATAAAATGCTTATACATATATATGTATGTATGTATGTAGCTATCTGACAAGCAGAAATATAATATTATCAAGTATGTAAAAATATTTCTAATAAATCAGTATAATGGAGGGTACAAATTCATTAATGTAATACGTTTTACTTAAAGCTGCTTGATTTTTAATGATATAACAGTATCTACATTTATCTTAAACACAGAGTAGATTTACTTAAAAAGAAAATTAATTTTGACATTACACCGACCGTTTGTATGTATTATATTTCCCTATTATTTGATTTTTTTCATGCAATTCTGTTATAATTGCTTCAAAAAAATATATGTATGTAATTTTGATAACAAATATTCTATTTCAGACAAAATCTACTCTGTGATGTTACATTAGTTGCCGATGATATCGAAATACCCGCACACAAAATGGTACTTGCCTCCTGCAGCCCATATTTCTATGCAATGTTCACTGGCTTTGAGGAATCACGCCAGAGTCGCATAACACTTCAAGGTGTCGATCATCATGCACTTGAGCTATTAATAGAATATGTGTACACATCCACTGTAGAAGTTAATGAAGACAACGTACAGGTATTATTAACCGCCGCAAATTTGCTACAGCTCACCGATGTGCGTGAGGCCTGTTGTGATTACCTGCAAACGCAATTGGATGCTAGTAATTGTTTGGGTATACGTGAATTTGCAGATATACACGGTTGTGTAGATTTATTAAATTATGCCGATACTTATATAGAACAACATTTCAAGTGAGTATTGCGTGAAGTTGTAGGTAAATTTATAATTTATAGTTATTTACTTGTTTCCCACCTTTCAGTGAGGTAATTCAATTTGATGAGTTTCTCAACTTGAATCACGAACAAGTGATAGCTTTAATATGTAATGATCGCATTTGTGTGCCAAGTGAAGAGCGTGTGTATGAATGTGTGATTTCATGGATACGCTACGATCCTGTAATGCGTGAGCAGTACACATCAATACTCATGGAACAAGTACGGCTGCCCTTTCTTTCCAAAGAGTATATAACACAACGAGTTGACAAGGAGCCATTGTTGGAGGGAAATATAATTTGTAAAAATTTAATAATTGAAGCTTTGACATATCATTTACTACCGAATGACACGAAATCTGCACGCACCATTCCACGCAAGCCGGTGGGTTTGCCAAAAATACTCTTAGTTATCGGTGGACAAGCACCGAAGGCCATACGCTCGGTAGAATGTTACGATTTGCGCGAGGAGAAATGGTATCAGGCAGCTGAAATGCCAAACAGACGGTGTCGGTAAGTCATATTTACAAGCCAAATAAACAAAATGAACTATATCTCAAATTAATTTCACTAATTGCACTCCACAGTGCCGGTTTGGCAGTTCTTGGCGATAAGGTGTACGCCGTTGGCGGCTTTAATGGCTCATTGCGTGTGCGTACTGTTGATGTTTACGATCCAGCTACGGACCAATGGCTAACATGTAACAGCATGGAGGCACGTCGCTCCACGTTGGGTGTTGCAGTATTACATGGTTGCATTTATGCTGTAGGCGGTTTTGATGGCACCACCGGTCTGAACAGCGCTGAAGTATTCGATCCTAAGACGGAACTTTGGCGTCTGATCGCTTCAATGTCAACACGTCGCAGCTCCGTGGGTGTCGGTGTTGTTAATGGTTTACTCTACGCTGTTGGTGGTTACGATGGTTTCTCACGTCAATGCTTAGCATCTGTGGAGCGTTATAATCCAGAAACTGATACGTGGAATCCGGTAGCGGATATGTCTGCACGTCGTTCGGGCGCAGGTGTAGGCGTTCTAAATAACATACTCTATGCGGTGGGTGGTCATGATGGTCCGATGGTGCGTAAATCTGTAGAAGCATATGATGCCACTACGAATCAGTGGCATCCAGTTGCCGATATGGCTTTCTGTCGACGTAATGCGGGCGTTGTGGCGCACGATGGTGTGCTCTTTGTGGTAGGCGGTGACGATGGCACATCGAATTTGGGCTCTGTTGAGGTAAATAGCTGTATACTATACACTGGCCGTTATTCAAGAAATTTATGAGGTCATATTTTTGTAATAAAAGTAAGAAAGGATATTAAAACTTTCATTATTTTTTTTTTTTAGGTTTACTGTCCCGAAACTGATACTTGGCGCATCTTGCCCGCTTCCATGACTATCGGACGCAGTTACGCTGGTGTATGTATGATAGATAAGCCCATGTGAATGGAAGAGCAGGGTGCAATGGCACGGTATGTCAATATCTTTATATTTCTCTCATTTATTTTAACCAATTTAATTTGATTTTATTCAGCCAAGCCAATGCAGCTGCCGGTGGTATCATAGATGATGAAAATAGTCAAGCTGAGGGTAGTAATGTCGAAGGTGCTGTTGGTTATTCGCGCAATGATGTGCACTTAACCCAAAATGCCAATAATAATAATGCTACTCAACAACAACAACAAAATCATCCACACTATGAAAACATCTATGAATCGCTTGAGCAATACAACAACAATGCAGCTGTCGCAGCAGCTGCTGCTGCTGCTATTGGTGGTGCTGGCGTCAACGCTGTTGCCCCTGCTGAAGAATTGCCCCAACCACAAGGTGACGCTAATATAGCGCCACCCAATATGAACAATCTTAATAATGCCAATAATAGCAACAACCAACCACGCCTTGTACCGAATATAAGTTATAGAAATGATCTTTACGATCGCACGAACACCACATCACCAGCTTATGATGTACCACGTGCTGTGCGTTCGGGTTTGGGATTTCGTCGCAACTTTCATATTGACTTACAAGGAGGTAATTGCATGATAAGAATATAATTATGTAGATATCGAAATATTTCTGATGAAATAGGAAAATACTTAAGTAAAAAGCTCGAATTTAATGATGTGTAGGAGTCTTTACGTACATCAAACGACCAGCATTTAAATTGAAGCTTCTCCCATTCGAGGCTTTCATCGACCAAATCAGATATTATGTTCACTTAGGCAATTCCAGGCACACAAGACACGTACAATTTATTAATCTTTGAGAAAGGAAGTCGAAAATAGAACGTTCATAGCAAAAAAATTATCTTATTAATTATTATCTAATAAGTTTCACAGAAGTAATTGTTCCCTCTTAGACTAAAGTCTTATCTAATCTACTCAAAACATCGATAGCTAATAGAACTGATGTGCTCCTCATGTCATTCACAGGGGAAATAAACATCTTACGCAACTCCCTTTCCGAAAATGGGATCATCGAATTTCAACCACAATCTAGCGCAGACGATCCGCTCTAGCCTCCTCGCTGGATCCTGTTCTATTGGACCACATTTTCGCACATCTCCTCGTTCTTTGGTCCAAACCAGCCGAAAACTTTCGTTTCCTTGGCATATATATAATTGATGCCTTATAACCGCTCAAGCGATTTTTGGCCTAGCTTCTCCTCCAATTTGTGTTTTTTGCGTCTTGATGTTTTTCCAAAGAAGGACCTACAGTTTATACTAAGCCGCCTTAGAACGGTTTTTTTTTTTTTTTTTTTTTTTGATATCAGTAATACATTCGACCGAATGGTAATCCGCAAATCTAACCACTCGGGACCGCTTCCGCCAATAGACTTAGATAATCTTGAAATCTTGAAATCTCGAAGACATCAACTGCCTACTGCGACAACAACACTACACTCTTCTTCCCCCATATGCATATATTGATAGATCTATTACTGCCTGCCAACTTAAGACTAATATCGTATTTTTTTTTTTGTTCTTCTCGAAAGCCAATCGCTTTAACTCGTCTCGGACCGCTGTCAATGCACCACCCACCTCTATATATGCCAGCAACAATAATTGCCAACGCCAACGTAGTTTCGATGATACCGAATCGCAAAATTACTACAACTTCAACAATTACCAGCCCAGCTTGCGTTACGAAAATATTTACGAGCAAATACGAGACGAGCCAATTTACCGTAATACTGGTAGCGGAGCACGAGTGTATGGACGCTTAGATGTGATCGGACATGGCATTGGACGTATCGAGCGTCATTTGAGCTCATCGTGCGGCAATATCGATCACTACAATCTCGGAGGACACTATGCCGTACTCGGTCATTCACACTTCGGTACTGTCGGACATATACGTTTAAATACAAGCGCCAGCGTAACCAACGCGCCCATTATCAATACTGCTTGTGGTGTTATTCCGCCAGTAACAAATGCTTCGGCCACTGGCGCTAATGTGGGCGGCAGTGGAGGCCAAAAGGATGCCACTAATGTGAAAAATAGTGCTTCGTCTTTCTTCAGCTGTCTGCAGGGTGAAAATGCCCAGAGCATGAGTAACATCTATCGTGCTTCAGTTGGTATGCCTGGTAATGGTGGTGGTGGTGGTTTAACAACAACAACGATGGCTATGGGTGGTCAACAAATGCCTATGCAATTCAATTGTGGTAAGATTCACATCTTTTAATACAGTTTCATGATTATTATTCAACCCCCTTCCTCTTAAAGTAGCACCAAATATTATCAAAGAACGAGAGCCACGTTCCGCCTCCGCTGGACCGCTATCCATAAGTTGCAATAATAATAATGGCAGTTCGAGCGCATCTAATGACGCGCCCAGCACTTCTACGGGCAACCGCCAAACAGGTGCAATTCCAAAAATCAAAGGGCTGGGGTTGAACACGAATAAGCCAAGCACTTCGAGTGCGACTAGCAACGCCACAGCTGAAAAGACGCTCTCCATTAAGAATGCCATCACTAAGAAGCCCACAGTTGGAGGCAACACGCCGCAGTCAACGTCCACCTCAAAAGCAAACGCTAACAGCCCAGAGCATACATCCAATTCGAGCACCTTGAATCGGATTTCCAAATCCAGTTTACAATGGCTCTTGGTGAACAAATGGCTGCCATTATGGATTGGTCAGGGCCCGGAGTGTAAGGTACGTTGAAGTCGCAGCTTCTCTGCTTACCATACATAAGAAGCGTTTAAAACCTTTTTTTTTTATTTTAATTTTTTTTTTTTTTTTTTTTTGCTGTATTCACAGGTAATCGACTTCAATTTTATGTTCTCACGCGATTATGGTGGTTGTGACATACCCTCTGCCGCTACACAAATGTCCAATCCCTACTACACGCCACGCCTGGGCGGTATGATGCCACACGATCTTATGCGTTTCAGCTCTGCCAACGCTGAAATGCATGCACCTTGTGCTGCCGCGGCCGCTGCTTTAAGACGTGATCTCAATATGCGACCGCGCGCTTTGAATCGTTTGCGCGAGTCCGAGACGTTGAATCGTCGTGAGACAGTAACAAATCGTTACGAGGATCCTTCATACGAAAATGTTCATGTACATTGGCAGAATGGTTTCGAGTTTGGGCGTTCACGTGACTATGAGCAAAATCAGCAAACGTCAGCAACTACAGCAAGACCACAACTTCAGCGCGCACGCTCGGAAAGTCCAAGTTTTAATACACAACAACGACGTTTGCGTCAAAATTCGAATAACGCCGGCGCCAGTAGCAATACCACAGCGACTGCGGTCGGCATGAGTACAGCGAAGTATGGTGATACTTTCAAAAATTATGTACTAAACGCAGAAAACAATACTTTCAAACCGAAAGTAACAAGACCCGAGCCAAGCGGTGATGTGGTCGGGGTGAGTGGTAATGGTAATGCCACTAACACTTTGGAAGTAGTGCCAAATACAGTAGCAGATAGTCTTGAAGCAAATGAAATACCACCGCCATCTACAGCATCCTCAGCAGTGCCACAGTCGTCAGGCCGTGAGCTGGTTGCTGAAATGAATGAAGCTGTGGGTGGCGCATGCGTCGAAGTGATGCCATCTTCTATTATAGTAAATACAGTCGCTGATGAGGAGGGCCAAATGCCCATAACTCCGAATCAAATACAAAATATTGGGAATGAGAATGTGAATATGAAAGACAACGAGACTGATGTAACAAAGACAAAAGCTACTAACAACAGCAACAATATTAAAGTAAATTCAACTAACAAGGAACAAAACGACGATTGAAAATACAAAGCGAATGCATTGCAAAGCAGTAATTTATTATATACATACAAAAATGTTAATTTGAAAACTGAAAAAAAAACTCAAACACAATAACATTTTCGTTATGCAAAACAGTAGAAATTATAGCACGATAAAGCACCATTGAGCAATTATTGAATTCCGTAGCACAACATAGCCACACATACGCATACAATGTGCATAGTAAACAGAATGGGCAAAGTTTGGAGGAATAAAAAGTGAAAAAAACAACTTATTATCTCAACCAAAGGAAACCTACTGCACTTGCAATAAGAAATTGTCCATTCTTGCTACATATAGTACATATATACGCACATTAACTTACACCTTGACGCAATTATGTATATTATTTACTGAAACAAAATACATAATGCATTATGTTAAAAGTATTAATTTTTGATTAACCTTAAAAGCACTTTACTTTTTGTATTTTCGCCATTTTTTGAAATTACCTACATATATACATGTTTACACATGTCAATTTATTATTATTACATAGTATGTATATGTAAGTAAAACAAATGTATGTATTTTTTCTATTCAAATATTGCATTATCATGGCATGATTTATTATTATATAATATGCTCATTGCATAGTTGTTTACTATTATTTATATATACATATAGTATGTTCTAATTTATTTGATAAAGACAATACATTTAAATAAAATACCTTACGAGCATATCTAATAGTTTATACCGTTGTATTTTTATTTTGAATTATGAGCAGCTTTTCAACTGTCAGTTGCCGGATGCAGAAGCAGGGATGTTATCTACAATCTATCTATTCTTATTATATAAAACAATCTTCTTGTTAATTTGAATATGCAACAGTTGCGGGATTATAGCTGAGCTGACCACCAATTATAGACAGTAAGCTTTATGAGGTCCCTCTTCACTTCATCTTTCCCGCAGATTTAAGTTCTTGCTTTTCTTTAAAACCTATGTCTGTACAGCGATTACGCTGTCTTCCTCTTCTTCACTTGTTGTAGGCACCGCTTACGTGATTATATACATATATATATTAGGTCAAGTAAAAAGTTTGTTCGGCTTTTATCTAAGAGATGGCGTTATTGTCCATAGTACTAATGTTACGTGTCGCATCATGTCATACCACACGGCGCTGAAAACGTGTTTATTCGCACTAAAAGTCTGTCTTTGACAGTTTTTCGATTGATTGACTCAATACATTGTGAGTGATCATCAAAATGGACACCAGCAAAGAGAAAATTCGCTTTTTTTTACAATTTTTCTTCGATCGCGATACTGTAAACGAACGTGTAGCACAAAAGTAATTTGCTAGCTTCCGCTCCAGTTATATCGATGTCAAAGATGCACTACGCGTCGGGAGGGTTGTCGTCGAAAATTGCGATAAAATCATGGAAATCGTGGACATAGACCGTCACTTATTTAATTGCTGAGGAACTAAAGATAAGCCAGAAAAACGTTTTGGAACCAATTGCATAACCGGATGGAAGGTCCTAATGCACCCACCATATAGTCTGGACCTGGCACCAAGTGATTACCATCTTTTCGTGTCCATGGCGAACGCGCTTGATGGTGAGAAGTTGGCCTCAAGAGAGGCCTGTGGGAATTGGCTATCCCAGTTATTTGCCAAAAGGAACGCAGCCTTCTACGAGAGGTGTCTAATGAAGCCTCTCGCTGGCAGCAAGTTTACGTACAAAACGGCGCATATTTGCCTTAAATCGGACAAATGTACGCAAAGTTATCATATTTTGAAAAATCAATAAAAAAAAACGAACGAACTTTTTACTTGACCAATATCATTAGCGGCTTGTAAACGCTGAAGCGACTTTCGGCCGAGCGTCTTAATGTTTTTCCAACAAATAGAGGGAGCTACATAGCATTTTAGCGGCTGATGAATTTTTACACGGTGTTAGGTAAGTTAGTTTCAGGGGGCATGCAAAGAAGTGGCCTCGTTATATGCAAGACATACGTTAGGTATGTCGAGGTTAACTCTGGATAGGTAGGAATTCAGTCCACCACAACAACCAGATCTTATGTACCGGATGTCTTCTTACTCGCTGAACTATGTCAATGTCGTCGTATGGCTCATCATTCCATCGATAGTTGCCATAGATTGTGGGCTGCTTTTTAGTAGGTTGAGCCGCGTTCGCTTTCAGTTTCCAACCGTTGATGGTGCTTTCATCTGTCCTAGTTCCACCTCTCGGCAGCAACGCCTGAGATAATTGGTTGTCATGGACGAGGAAGTTTTTATACCGGCTTCATGCTTTTTTATTCGCTGTGGTTTTAACAAAGAGATCTAAAGCTGTGCATAGCTTCGTTACAAGAAAAAGGACCGTCAACATGTTCTGGAACCACGAGGTTTGGTCCCTCGTTCCGACAGCCACTATGCTTCTCCGACCTTGATCAGTTTTCAAGGTGCACCGTTCGCAACTAAGCAATTACTGGCCGCTATTCATTTAGTCATCTACACGGTAATATTTACAGTCTTCTACAAAACTGAAAGTACAGTGAATTAGTATTTGTGAATTGTAATTATTTGCAGATGTTTTACATCAAAATTCTAAATAACGTAAACGGTATTATGACTAGTAAAAACATACTTTTGATTTTTATAAAATTTCAAATTTTGGTAACTGTGGCGAGTAAGAAACTTGCGTTTTTATCAGCAGCTCTTAACTTACGTTCCACAAAAGCCTAGGTGATTTAAATGCGCTGTTATTAGTAAAAAGGGGAATCCCACAATTCAGTATCATTACTATAAATTGGAAGGTGTTTTTAATTTAAATTTCTAGCTCGTTGATGGTTTTTTTGTGTCGAAATCAAATAAAAATGAAAGAAATTATGGGCCGAAAAGAACTGACATTTAGAGAGAGGGAAATCATAATTGACCTACATACATACATGTACGTCAAGGGATATCTTATTCACAAATATCGGAGATTATGTAGCGTAGGCGGTGATTAATTCAAAATGTACTTAACCGATGTAACAGTGAAAATACACCCAGGAAAAGCACGAAGGGAAATGAGAAGAATTTTGCGTACAATAAAAGAAAACCCATTTGTAAGCTGCAGAAAAATCAGTGATGATCATGCCATTTACGAGCAAAAATAGGTTTGTGCCGAAGCAGTGCGAAGAGTAGTCGTAGAGAATGTGTTTTCATCTAGACCACCAAGCAAGAAGCCGCTTGTGAGTAATACAAAGAAAGAAAAGCGAATTACATTCGCAAAATCATATTGTGGCAGGCCTTTGGAGTTTTGGAACAAAATTGTATTCTCAGATGAATCTTAGTTTTGCATATTTGACGTAAATGGATATAAAAGAATCTGGCGAAGAGTAGTTGAAGCGCTTAATCCAAAGAATTCTGTTAAAACCATTAAACACGCAGGCGATGTTATTATGGTGTGGGGTTGCATGGCACCTGGGGGGTAGGAAACCTTATTTTTGTCGAAAATAATGTGGAACAGAATTCGTATTTATATATTCTACGAAATAATATGAAGCATAGTGCTCTTGGGATAGGGTTACAAGAGGACTTCTTGTTTCAGCATGACAATGACCCTAAGCACACTGCTCACAAAGTTCGAAAGTGCTTGTTGTACAAAGCACGTATGTTTCCTACTACACCTTAAAGCCCTGATTTAAACCCGAAGAAGATAAGAATAATTTCAAGCAATGCGCAGCTTAGGGATTTTATGCTAGAGGAATGGAGCAACATTAGCAGTGAGCTCACCAAAAAATTGGTGCATTCAATGCCTAAAAAGTTGAGATCAGCAATTGAAACTAAAGAATATACTACATAATACCGAAAAAAGTGAAGTTTGCATAGAAAATAATGTCATAACTGCAATTCTCGTTTACTTTCCTTAGATGTACCTTGACTTTTGTGGATTCAATATAATGGCTTATCAACGACATTACATTATTTTTTTCTTATGTACTGGATTTCGATTTAGTTTTTTCATGGATTCAAAGTTCATTTATTATTTATCAAAAATACTTTAAGAAAAATATTTATTTTATTAATAAAAGTAGGTAACACTATTTTCAAGAATTTATTTTGCTGCACGTTCACTTTTGTGAAGGACTGTATATCTTGCCTCCAGGTGTGCACTGCGCCACTGCGAGAGGATCAATACTCTGATAAGACTTCTATATGTCTTCACAATAACTTGATAGATAGGAACGGAATCAACTTCCTGGATGATTTTTCATGGCTGTCCATATATATTTGGAAGAGTGAAAAAAATAAGGCAACAGTTTGGGGGTAGAAGTTATAGCTGCTATTTCGGAAACTACTTTTCTACTTTGCCTACATATCCACAATCGGGTGCTCAGATATTCTGTAGCTGGAAGTTTTCGTAATTTTAGTCGATATATCAGTTAAAGTTATGCTATTGTTATCGTAGGTTTCTTTTTTCTTTAACTGATCATGCTAAAGTGGCAATTTTAGTTATTACAAACTTTTAAAAATGTTCCTAATGAGAGATTTGGTTGTGATTCACTTAAAGTTCTTATAAACATATAAGACTTTATTTCACCCTGTGCTTAAGATTGAACATTAGCACTTAATGCAACCCTGTGTTTATGACTAGAAATTTTCCAACATCAAAAACTTTTGCTCAGATAAAATCGTGTTTTTGGGTGAGTTGGACGTGTAAATTTCCGACGTTGGACGTTTAATTGTAGTTTTACTATCTCTGCTGCATTTATATCTACTTATATTTGAACAGACTGTACTTTGTTAAGAAAAGAAAAATGAAAATGTAAAATATGAAATTCTTTTATTGCTAGGTTATAACTAGTTATTTACATGCAGAGATTTGTTGTGTTTGTTATTTGGTACTTTATATGAGGAATTAAGTGTGGATTTAACTCCACATTGTAAAATGAAATTTTCATATATATTTATATGTACATATGTATGTACATGAAGTGCTTTATGAAAAGGCATATTCATGCCGAGTACAAAGAAAATCTACGATTTCGGTTGAATTTACATAAGTTCAAGTAAGAACTTAAAGCAAATCTACGAATTATTTGTGTGCTGTACTTCGCTTGGATTTCATTTTGTGATTTGTTAGTTTTATGTAATTGAGTATATATATATTATTAGAAGTACAAAATGGCGATTTTTTGGAAACGTGGCTATCAATTCTGTAATAGATTAACTTATTCTAGACACCAACCGTTTATTGGCCTCGTTTGTGTGAAACGGATAGTGTTCGTACACAATTCTACTCGGTTGAGGTAAGATTGGCACACCAACTGATGAAAAAATTCACAAATGCAGGTCTTGTGGCAACTCTGATTAATTTTGTAACTTGAAGTTGGCTACGCTTTTTGATGAACGTCGTTTGTATTCTATTACAGAGGGGCATGTCGCCATAATTGAAATTTTCTCTACACCATCGTGTTTCTAGCTCGTCAAATTTTCGTAGCATTTATCAAACTTGGCAACGTTGGAGCTAATTATTCAATTAATCTTAAATATTTTTAATAAAATAATAGTTATATACATGAATTGTTGAAAATAAAAGTATTTAGGTAATTTTTTTTATTTGAGAAACTTGAATAAATAAAGAAAAATATTGGTAGGGTGAAGGTCTAGATTTTCTTTGTACTCCATACGTGACTAATAATTTGATGCACAGTTAAAATAAGTACGCTCGAACTAATGAACTGGTTTGTTATACTTTTAGATAAAGATAAATGAGAAGCATAAAACTCGTACAAAGTTATGTAATCAGAGTTAATTGATACATACAGATTTGTATCAAACAGAAAAACTAAGAAGACGGACTTTGTGTAGTAAACCACATCGTTATCGACAACCATTATTAATAGTCTGGCAGTTATCTTAAAATAAAAATGGTGAGTTGGTTAAAATTATTTATGTATATGTAATATATTCTGGAAATAAAGAAAGTGTTGATATACTGATGTGTTTTACTCAATATATACATTGACCTAATTTTTTTTTTTACTTTGTTATAATTTCAGCCGCGTATAGTACCGTTGCAGCTGCTAAAGTGCCTAAAGGTGCTCTTGGATGATAACGGTGGTATCCTTAGCATCGGAGAAGTGAAACGCATTGCGGGGTAAGTTAAATATATTATTGATTGATTAATTAAAACATATTGGTGCTTACTTGATATGCAACTGTGTGAAATGCGTTCGAAAATGTTTGTAATTTTTTTTTTCGTAAACAGGGTTGCATTTTTCCAATAAACGTTAAGAAAATTTAACTAATCGATTAAATTTTTATATTTTCAGATTGATGAATAGATATTCAAAGAAACTTGTATCAAAATGCATTTATGTACAAATTTTAAAAGTAACAAAAACAGAATTGCTTGGTGAATTTATGGGTGTTGGCGGCTGGTCGTTGGTATATAATTGGTTGAACGACGCTATCCGTGCCATGAATTGGCCACTCGTTCAAGAAATTCTTGAATTGCTTTTACTTTGTCCTGTGGATGTAGACCGGCTAAAAATAAATTCAGCTCCTAAACTAGTGAAAGGCCTATGCAGAGATGGCGGCAATGAAGGTAAGTTCTCAATAGGAAAAATGTATACCTGGCAACGTTGCAAACATATGTGATGAAATAAGTATAGTGGGGTTATCTTCCAATATCAGTTTGAAGTATAGGAAAGTCATACATATCAAAAAAGTATTGCTTATTTCATAATTCGTGAAACGACACCCATACTGGCAGTATGAGTTTTTGAAGACTTGTGTATTTTTTCGTAGTATATGCTGTCAAAGTTTGCTAATACATACATACAAGTTTGCCATCGTTTGACAATTTCGATTACTGTGGCTGACAAACAAATCTGTCTATATAGGTATATTTTTTATGTAAAACTTAAATTTTTTTTTAATTCAGGGGAAAAATTCATACATACATAGGACACACTTACGCAATTTATATATTTCACTAGGAAATTAAATCGCTAACACGATTATATTTCTACGTTCTTTTATTTATACTTTTAGGTGTACGCATACTTGCAAAGCGATTGGTAGAACAGTGGTTGAAAGTAGTGACAGAGAATACAGCGAGTACTCAGGCGGAAACTGCTCAACAACCGACAGTGCCGGGCACTGCGTCAACTACATATACTGGGACTACACCACCTGCTATTCAATCTACTACTGTTGTACGACAAGAGAACAAAATGACACCAAATTGTTCCGAACCAAGTAAAGTTAAATCGCCAATGGTTATCCGTCGGCAATCATCGAATGCCTCTGATGAAGATCCCTTAGCAGATGTTGCTGATGTTCAACCCCAACCAGCTTCTTATGCACCTACAGCTGCTCAGAAGAAAGCAAGTGAAGCGGGTTTGGTTTTTAAACTTGTTTACAAAGATGGTCAACAAGTTTTAACAAAAGTACCAAAGACTGTCCAAGTAGCCACTGTTGTTGAGCAAGAGGAACAGGAAGAAACGGCAAATGCGCCAGATGAAAGTCAGAATACAGATCGTGAAGTCGAACAGGAGACCGAAGTTAATGGTGATGCGGAAGCCGAAAGTGCAAGCGCAGATGACCAGGAGGTAGAAGAAGAAACTGATGGGCACACTCATTCGGCAGTAATTGATGAAGAAGAAGACACGAGAATGTCTATTGATAAGCGAGACAAAGATAGCGAAAGTAGTGCTGATGATGACACGCTGATAACACCAGATAACAAGAAGGTGATATCTGCGGAACAATCTACAAGTTCCAGAAAAAAGTCAGTTGATACTGAAAGTGAGAAATCAGTAAGTAGGGAACGTAAGAGTTCGAAAGATTCGAAGGAAAATAAAAATAAGGACAAAGAGCATAGAAGTGAAAAAGACAAAGACAAAGATAGGAAATATTCATCCTCTTCATCAAGCCACAAATCATCGAGTCACAAATCAAAAAGTTCATCTTCGAGTAAATCGAAATCATCATCTTCGTCGTCATCTTCTTCACACCGTAGCTCAAGTGACAAACATCGCAGTGACAAGGATCGCTCCAGCTCTGGCAAAGACAAAGATCGTAAGGATGGTAGTAGCAGTAGTAGCAGTTCAAGTAAACATAGATCATCAACTTCCTCATCCAAGTCTTCATCTTCAAGTAGCTCTAAAGACAAGCATCGTGATAAAGACAAAGATAAGTTAGCCAATACATCATCCTATTCACATAAGAAGGATAAAGAGCGAGAAAAAGAAACACAAATTGAAAAGGATAAAGAAATTAGTTCAAAGTCATCGCCATCTACCACAGAGAAGCTGGGTCGTATACCAAAAAAACCTAAAGATGAATCGGAATCGGATTCACCAAAACCTACTTCAATAACCATTCCATCAAAGAAAGCCTCAATGTCAATAGAAATCCGCCGAGATTCAGAAAAGACTAAAACTGTAAAAACATACAAATCACAATTTCGTTCGCATGGTCTCACTGAGGAAGCACCACCACCGCCCTCGCGAAAGGGTCTTAAAAAGCCTGTTTCCAGTGTTTCAGCACCCGGCACTGTCATTCCAACCAGTTTACCATCATCACTGAAGCGTCCATCGCCGCCGCCGAGCAGCAGTGATTCGCCAACACAGAAGAAAAGCAAAATCGATATCAACAATCTGACGGTAGCCAATGAGAAGCCAGGCGCTATAAAATTGATCGCCCCTAAGAAAAGTAAGTATTTTGAGTTACGAAATTTACTAATGGCATTCTGCGTTATTTCATTCCAGGAGTTTGGATGATGCTAGTTTTTGCTTGAGGTTATTTTTGAAAAATTTCAAAAGGTGGTATTTTTGTGCATAATTATAAAAAAAAAACTGTATTTAGATCGAAGAATCTTAGTGTTGGCAACACCACGTTTCGTCATGGGACTGTGTGGAACGATGGAACTGATTGATCATAATTTTCCAAAATTCCTACATAGACTTGAAGCAACCAACGTTGGCGTTTTGTCAAACACTTTATGCTTGTGATTGTATTGAAGTAGTTGAAAAGAATAGTTTTTTTTTTTTTAACACATACGCGATTTATTTTTGCTCCTCGTTGTGCTTTAATATAAAGAAAAAAAAAAAATGATTGGAATTGGCTACTTAAATGTAAAGCAAATTCGTCGATCACCATTAACTAAATTATTAAACGTGGTTTTTCGAAGTGAAACGTTGTAATGATAAAGAACGAATTATGATGATTCCAAGATGAATATGTACAAATAATACGCTAAAACAGAAAGTTCATACTACTTATGATTTCTACTATCACTGAGTGGAAATTATTTAAGATAAAGTTGGAAAAATTGAACTTAGTATATGTTTTTGTATGCACACAGCATAGTTTATGGAAGGAGATTGTGCTTATTCAACTGTAGTTTAATGTACAACTGAAAACAACGTGTTGATCGCTTTGATTATGGATTCTATTGAAAAATGCATTGGATTGCAGGCAAATGATAACAAACCAATTTGAGATTTGGCATTGCTTATGTAGATGACACGATTTAAGCGATTTGAAATAATAATTGCGGCTGTGTGCTGAGAAGTCTTTTTTTTCAAAGGCAACTTAAAAAAATTCTTTTCACTTAATCAATGGTTTGTTGAAACCAAGGCGCTCTAAAGGAAACGGAAATGTTGCTAATAAAAAGTTTGGTTGACTAGTTGGTACTGCTAGTCAAATGGATGCTGGACGTTAAGTATGAACATTATTTACATACGTTTATGTTTCAATTTTAATATTCGCAATAACATTATTTTCGTGTACATTACAATGTTATGTGATGTCACGTGAAAATTTATTATTTTTAGTTAATAAGAATACAAACATTGAAAAAATATGATACAAAATATTAAACATCATTAAGCCTTACATATAAGACAAAGAGAGTTGGTGAATAATAAACAATTCTTTTCAACAAAATAAAAACAAATTACTTGAGCTAATGGTGTTCGAAGTTTGGAAGCAGTCTAAATATTTGCAATGGCAAAGAAATTCACATAACCCAATTTTTTTTTGTGAACGGTTTTATATTCAATTATACGAAACATGATGCAGTCACAATTCATTACCAAGCTAATCATGATGGAAAAAGTACAGGGCGCAACGCCAAAATGTAGGAAAATTTCTTCACACATTTTTCAAGTCCAATCAAGGCATTTTTCGCTTGTTACACAAACGAAACTCTTCTTCAAACTAATATCCCACAGCGTTGCGCCTTGTAGTTGTCGTAGATCTTACGTGGTACGACACTGATGGAATGAAAAGTAGTTGGATTTCTTCATAATTTCAATTTATCTAAATTTTTTTTATATTGTTTTTTTTTTATCAATTACTTGGAACTTGAAATATAATATCAGATGTGACGTCAATCAGGCACTGACAGCTAAAACTGCTTCATAAACGAGTTTCTCTATTGAAAGTGAGGTTATAAAACATTATATTTGTAATTACTAATGATATCAGGATAAGTTTTCGTACTTCTTTGGTAATATATTTTAGCCATTTTTTTATACTGGTATGACGGCCAGACCTTAAAATATATTTTTTTTTTATATAATGGTTATTTCCTACAATGAATGAAAAGAATGTCTTGCCTATGCCCATTCAAGTATTTATATTCTATCTCTTTTATAAGCTTTCCAAAAGATGGATAGGTAATCTTCGAAACTAGCGTTTCTTGACCATCAGTTGTTAAAATCTGATATCTCCGACACATTAAGACCATGGTTTTCTGATTATTCTGTAATTAACCTTATGCAACGACATTTCGTTTGGAAGAAAGGTACACGTTTTTCAAATTGAATGGTCGGCGTGCCGAAACAACTCTGAGTTGCACCAAGACCCTAGGAGATGGTATAAAAATAATGTGAAGTTACACTAGTCCTGCCATTTAAAGTATTCTTTGAAAGTGTTCAATAGCTTAAAAGCATTTAGTTCAATAACTCCAGAAATCGAAAGAAATTTTAGACTGAAGAATCGGACATTAGTTTGCCACACGTTATATAGCCTGCACCAAGTTCTTTTTTTTTTTTAATACCAACTATGTGCTGAAATGACCCGTACTAATAACTATTAGACGATCCCTCACGTTTTACTATCAACAAGATTGAGATTATAACAAATCAAGGCACAAAACATTTAACTTAGTATTTTCAGAAGCGTCGTTAGCTTCTTATCCGTAATGTAATTGAGCGTACAATGCACCCAACTAACTAACCCTTAGCTCAGAGACTTATTGTGGTCGGAGAAGAGTTTTTTAAAGAGAACCATCCAATGACTTTGACGGCTGCGTTAGTCCAGTGGCTATCACTGCGTTTTCCCATACGGAGCGTCACGCGCTTGCGTCGTGGCTACATATTTAATCTAAAAATATAGAAATTTAATTTTTCTAACTACGTTCGTCGCCTCTCGTCAGGGAATATCAATCTCTTTTTTTTTTATAGTATATTTCTGACACCAAATGAAAGCTCATAAAAATCCATCAGCCATTCGGAGGATATACTGTATTCTTCTCCACTTATTGGAGAAAAATATTAAGACACGCCGAAAATGGCTTTAGCGATTTATCTACCACATTAAATCAATTTTAACAGCAAATCATCCGAAGAAACCGTGCGAAAATAAAAGTGACTTATAAATAATCAGCAAGGACAATCTTGTATTAAACTCATAACGTATTACTGAGTATTCTCAGCGCAAAGAGGTCAAATAAATATCTAAACTGCTACCAAGCTTCGATGGCCTAGAGCGTGTTCTCATTTGAAATGTATATGAAACTTGTTTTTTTTTTTTTTTTTTTTTTTTTGAGAATTTATTATTGTTATTTTTTTTTTTTTACCAAATCCCTTACTTTTTAAAGATTAAGTTTGAATAGGATTTCTAAACTAGGTTAATTTCTAACCTCCCATATTAGATCAAGAAAGCAGCAGAACAATACTCGCACCAAAGCATTTCCAATATTTTGAATATGATCACTATGTAGAGACCCTTAATTATTTTTTTTTTGCAATCTTCATGTGATCACTAAGTTTTTTTTTCGATTTCCTTGGGCTGCAGTAGAATAGAAATTACAATAGTCTATTTTAGAAGATTCGAAATTCTATTATCTCACTCAGAGTGCGCAGAGCCAGTATTTCAAAAGATACGATCACTGGAGATCAATTCAATTTTTTTTAAATTTTTTTTATTTTTTTTTTAATTTATTTTATTTTTTTTTTAAATTTATTTTTTTTTAATTTTTTTTTTAATTTAGAACACATCTTTTTGTTTATATCAATTAATGGACTCTTAGAAAGCTCGTATTTACTTGATTGATATGAAAAAGGGGGTTATTCTTGGTTTAAGATCTGACTCAGCACTTTCACTTACTACGCAAGAGCTCATGCACTACATTTTCAGTTCAAAATTCCGCACTGATAGATCAGTAAACCCTCACTTAAATGAGTTTCCAATCTAAAAAAAAAAAAGCGTACGCAACAATTTTTCCAATGCGGAATATCGGACCGTACCTACACTAACCTCGATTCTTTTGCTTGTATTTCCTTTAAAACCGGGGTTTCATTAAATTTCCACTAACTATAGGGAAGAGACACTACTGTGGCTCCGTAAACTTTGAGAAGTCTTTTTCCTAATATTGAATTTTAACCAGATCTTTCTGCGGTGTTTTATGACTATACTACTGTAATGCAAACCCATGAGCGTGGATTGATTTGAACTACAAGTCGATCGAATCAGTTGATAGGCAAAGGGTATTCTACTCTGTAACACATCAAAGCTAGAAGAAATGGCTTAGTCTGAATTTAAAGCCGTCTATCGGTTTCTGTACGATCCTCATAAATCACGTTACTAGTTCGGCATAACTGTAATTAATTCGTAAACAATATGAGTTCAACTTCGTTATCGTTGTAGCAATTTAGGAAAATTTTGGAATTTTTTTTATAACCCTAGTTTAAGTATATAACTTTAAGCTTAACTTCTAGAGAAAATCTTAACAAATTATGAAAAACGCACATATCTTACGTCCAAATCCTCACAGGAAGCAGAACCCAGCCGCTTATGCCGCACCAAAAAGCAAAAACTAGCAACAGAAAGTCCTAACTCCACTTACTTGTAACATTTTCTTAAGGATATTTTTCAAAACTTTTAACTAAATTCAAAAATTTCACTCTACTTTACAGTTCAAACCCTCGTCGAGACAAATCTCTTCTCTGATGCACTTTCGGCTGCAACGGGTCCCAAAAAGGTGACAAAGCGCAAGCGTCCAACTACGCCGGGACCCGGTCCAAATAAAGATGACCCAGCCACGCCTACCAGTCCGGATGCGCCTAAAGTGACGCCATTGAAATTCTATCAGGACACATTGGATGAGCCGAAGAGCGATGATAAATCCGATAAGGAAAATGATGTCAAAGAAAACGCTAGCAATAAAACGGAAGACGGGGAGGCAGCCGATAAGGATAATAGCACTGAAGATGATGATGATATTCCACTGAAGAAGGTTAAAGAGGATATTGAACAAAAGGTACTGCAAGAGCAGAAAACTGCAGATGAGAGCGCTGATGCTGCTGCTGCTAGTACAGTCAGCGGCTCGGTCGATATCACTGGCAGTGATGCCGAGGAAGATGTCGCTACAAAAACTGCCGACGAAGAGCCGGAAGCGCGCAAAGCGCCAGGACCCGGTTGTGGACCGAATGGACCACCAGGTGTACTTATGCTGCATCGACGCAAAGGTCCCAAAAAGAAGTTGACTTGGCGTCCACAAGAGCAACTCGAGCAGATACGTTACTTCGAGTTGGACGAAACGGAGCGTGTTAACGTCACTAAAGCACAATCGTTTATGGATATGAAGAATCTTGAACGCTTCGGCGAACGCGATGCCATCAATATTGCGAGACGTAATTTTACGCATGATGACAATATGCGGCCACAGATGGAATGGCGACCGCTCATCGAAGTCGATGGTGTGCCACCACATCCAAATGGCAATCAATCTAAACAGCGTAAGGTGCAAGCCGAACGTGAACAGACCACATTGCGTGCACTATACTTCTCGCTCAGCATGATACCCGATTCACCGGCGGAGGCAGAGTTGGAGCCACACTTCGCTGTCGATATACCAGTTATACCACTCGAAGATATTACCGGCAATCCCGATGCGGTTAGCGATTACACCAACATGCCTTGGCCGGAGCCAAAAAGCTCACCAAAGTCACCGGAAATCAATCTGCCTGCTACCGGTAAACTGCCACCAAACGCACAAATGAATACATTACCACCAAACAATCTGAATCCCTATCCCGGCTTTATGCCGCAGTACCCTGGTGCGCCCGCACCGAACAATATGCTACAGCAGCAAATGCAAATGCCCAGACCGCCAGTTGCAGCTGCTGCAGCGTCACCACAAGCACACCCAGCCTGGCAAGCTGGCAATTTTAACGGCAACTTGGGCTTGGGTCCCATGGTTGGTGCACCAGCTGTGCAACAGCAGAACATGATGGGCCCATTCGGCCCGAATGCCGGCAATCCGCAGTGGCAAATGCATGCTGGTGGTGGCGGCGGCGGCGGCGTACAATACGGGCCAGGGCAGGGTCCCTTCAATAATGCACCCAACTTTGGACCACTCGGCTTAATGGCGTCGCGTGTTATGCCAAATATGACGCCGCCAAGTCCATTTGAACGCAACAATATGAATAATAATCATCACAACAACAACAATGCGCAACGTAATAACGGCGGCGGTTGGCGTACCGGCTCAAACTTCCAAGATAACAACAATGGCGGCAATTGGCGCTCGGGCGGCGGCGGGCCGAATCGCGGCAACATTGGTGGCAACAACTCGAACAGCGGTATGTGCAAGGCATTCATGCGTGGTCACTGTCGCTTAGGCAAATCCTGCAAGTTTATACACCCAAAGAGCAAGCGCATATAGGACTCGCCGGAATCTTCAGATGAAGATTCAAAAACGATCTCGAATAAACACTGTGATAGTGGCGATAAGTCGATGCGCAAATAAAGCAACTAGGCCAGGTTCTTTAAGATCCTGCTGTTTGTTGTCGGCCGCTTGGAGTCGCGTTGCTCAAGCCACAAAGCGATTGAATAGCTATCAGCCATGCCAATTTGGCAGTAACTAAGAGTGAGGAGAGGAAAAATTCATTTAGATTTCTATGAAATGTCTTTTGCTATTTTTGTACAAAATATTAGATTTAATTGCTTTAGACTTAACAAAAAAGATTGAGTTGTTAGTGGATGGAAAATATCATGAAAACTAATCGTAGATTGGAAAAGATTTTTTTAACGGTGTTTCTGGATTATGAATCATATTACTAACTAGACTAATGTATAAAATTTAGAAATAAAAATAATTAAAAATACTATGTTACCAAGCCATTTGCATTAAACATAATCGTTGATTACATATATAAAGTAAAAATATCATTTAAAAACAAATAAAATGTAGTAAAAATGCATACAACAAATCAAAAAAAAAAAAATTAACACAAACTAATTATTTGCATAAAACCTTAAGGAGTTGAAGTTGAGGACTTCCGAACGCAGCGAGTCTTTGTTCCACTAATTCAACGAAAACTTTTTAAATTTTTGCTTTCATTCCTGCACACGCACACACAACGCTGCTCTATCAAATGGCAAAAAATTATGATGAATTGATAAGATTGTTGATAGGAGTATAACGGTTATACATACATACTTACATACATACAATTATATAATTAATATATTGAATGCAATAAGAAAGTATCGTATTTAATTCTAAGTGAGTTTTCAGCGACACACACACACTATGTAGATACAAGTATGTAGATATGTATATATACATGTTTGTATGTTTGTTGTAAGAATTCTAAATAAAATTTATATATAGAGATATAAATAAATTAGTATTAAACAAAGAGCACATTTATAAGAAATTTACATACTAAAAATAATGTAATAAAAGAATTTAATAATTAAATAACGGTTTTATATATTTATTTTTTTTTTTGCAAAACTTGATTGCTAACAGCAACACGGCAGTGGTGAATTTACTCAGCACCACTTAAACTGATAAGGTGGAGTGCTAATTGTCAGCAGTAAAAAAAAAAAATATTTATGCAATAATTCAGCGATGCCGATGTTGTTGTAGCGCTTTTTTAACCCCTTTGAGGAAAATAGAAAACTCATATCTAGCGAAAGGCTCGCGCTACGTGCAGCTACTTAGCAAAGTGGGAAGCGTGTCTGAGAACCGATTCCTCATGTATATGCAAATACAAGGGGATTAACAAAAGTTCGATAAGTTGACCAGAAAAAAATCAAAAAAAAATATTTTTATATTTATTTCCATTTTTATCTTCTCTACGTAATCGCCACTAATTTCAATGCATTTCTTAAGCCTATAAATCCACTTCTGAAAACAGTCTTCAAAATCTTGCTTTTTAAGCTTCCGAAGATCAGCATTAACAACATTATTTATTCGGGGAATATGATTCTGGGCGTATTTCTTCTATCAGTGTGGGATGACGCGTTGTGATGATGAAAAAAGTAGCGCCGCAAATCTTCTTTCTTTCTGTTTTCCAACAAATTTTTGAAAACTTTTGATCGGCACTCTTCGGTGTACCATTTTGCAGTTACCGTCTGAACCTTTCCAGTGGAATAGCAGCTTCGATTTTAGATCGGGTGAAGTAAACTGAATTTGCTGCTGAAATTTGTTGCTTAGATTTTACTGGCGGGCTTGCTCCTGTTGGGCTCCATACCATGGACTACTGTTTCGTTTCTGAATCGTGCTTATAGAACCAAGATTCGTCACCAGTAACGACTTTACTAAAGTTCCTGGATTGACCATTTTTGAATTTGTTTAGGAAAAAATTGAGCAAAATGCACTCGAGGCTCTTTTTAGGCCTCATTTAAAATTGAGCAAATTTCCTCGTGTATCCCAGATGATTACTTGAAATTCTCGATACAGCCATGGCATTTAAGCCCGATTCATTCAATCGTAGGACTTCGTCAATTTTGAACTTCATCAGAGCTTCAGTGACGTCATTAGTGAAAGATTTTGGTAGACCTACTCGGGGCTATCCTTAGCTATCTTGCGTTTTCTCGTCTCCATTGTAGCCGACCGTTCCAAAATTTGAAAGGAAAACCAATAAAGGAATTATAAACGATCCGGTATTTTTAGATTTAACAAAAACAAATTGAAAGCCACCAACTGACCGAACATTTGTTAATCCCGTGGTATATGATCTAGTAAAAATTAGTCCATTAGTTTTGCTTTAAATTGATTTTTTTTTGAAGATAAATTCCTTATGGCTCTCTCATAGAAGTTCTAGTCCCAATATTTTTTCAAAATCGATTTTCACAGACTTCTCGTGAGGGTGATTCTTCACCACCTACCAAATCATTCGCCACAGGCAGGAACAGATGGTAATCACTTGGTGTGATGTCCGGACTGTAAGGTGGATGCATACGAGCTTCCCAACATCATCAGCTACCTGACTTATGTTTTTGCCATTCACGGAAAGATGATTAAAAATGGGTAGGATTGAGTTCCCATAAATGCGATTATTAAGTAGACAATTGGCGTAGCCTCTGGTGTTCCACCTTGGATTGTGCAGATCACACTTAGGTTTCCATATTCTGAAAAGAATTTGTAAATAGCTGAGCCACTAAGCCATCGTCTTCCTTCGCTTGGTTATCCTTCAAGCGGGAAATGGCTATTCGAACTTTATTACAGTCTTGTCTAGGAACGTCTTTAGCATGCTTCTGTCTTAAAATCTTCAGTAAGTTATTACATTTTCTTATAGAACTACGAGCATTACCCTTGACAGAGAGCTTCTTCAGCTCTTCGTATTTACACCATTTCGTCATCTGATTTTTCTGAACTTCTTAGTACCAGCTCTTCTTTTGGACTTGTCTAAAACCATTAGCTTCGCTTGCTATGTACATGATGAATGTTCTTGTGCTAGAAATTATTGCTACCGACTGTCATATTTTGATCCCCGGTTAAGTTGAACAGCCTCAATCCATTTGGAGATGTTTTGTCATGTAGCCTGTGTTTTTCAAGAGTTGTCCCGAAGATATCTTCTTTGTCCACCCTTGCATTAAAGTCGCCAAACACATTTCTATCAACGTAGCGAGGCAAAATAGATTTGCACAGACTTCAACGCGCTTATAAAAGGCATCTTTGGTAATATTCCCTCCGTGTGACAGCGTGGGCGCAAATCACCGTTATATTCAAAAACATCGCTTTGATGCGGATTTCGGCTAAACGTTCATCTACCGAAGTGAATCATCGGACTTAACGACTCAGTCACTCCCTTCCCACGAATTGAACATCAAACTTTCGCTATTTAATATAACCGCTGTAACAAAGACCAACTCGCTGATGTCCTAGCCCTTGTCCCCTCCATCGTTTGGCTGGCATCACCTAGTTTTAGTCTTACGAGGGTATCAATGAGCTAAAAGTTTCTCACCGTTTCCATCTTACTATAATATGTAATAGCGTGGATGATGTCGACATCCGTTGAGTCGGCCTTGGGAGTAATCGAGTGTATAATTAAGCATACAATTTATGGCCTTTTGTGTTTTGGCGCCGAGGATGATGAGACGGTGAGCTGCACGAGTCGTACAATGAAATTGATATAGTTCAGCGGATTATGAGTGTGGCTACGTTGGCTAGGTCAAGTGTTGAAAGTTTTCGATACAGTACCCGCTGGTGGAAATATACGAAGAGAAAGACCTCCAACACGTTGGGAGGATCAGATGGAGAGCCAGTTGATATTCCCAACTGGTGGCAAACAACTCTTGTTCATTCGGAGAAGAAGAAAAATATCAAAACGAAGAAAACGAAAAGTTCAGAGTCTTACTATCATAATCATAAGATCTTCCCATAAGCAGCGTCGTGATAGCTCAAAGAACATTAATTTTATACAAAAGGACAAACATCTAAGAGACCTAATTTCGACAAGCACAATAATATACATGATTTCCATAAAGTGAGTCCTAAGACTACGGTAAGAGCTTCTTTACACTTCTTTCTCACGTCCCTGCCATCACTCGTTTTCTAAACTTCTGATTTATGGTATTTTACCCCGGTGTGCTTTTGATCTCGACTTAACCTTCTCTATCTTCTCCTCTCTTCTGGTAGATAGCAGCTTTCATAGCCAATATTGCATTTTTGTTACGTCCATACTTGGTAGCCGCGGTAGCCGAGTGGTTAGCATTGCGTACTGCCATTCGGAAGGCTCGGGTTCAAATCACCGTGCTACCAACATCCAAAAGTTATAGAAAATTAATTTGAATAAAAAATTAAGTTAAAATTTCTAATTGCGGCCGCCACTCGGTAGGGAATGATAAGCCACCCACCTCCGGCTTAGTATAACCTGTAGGCTCCTCCATGTGTTGGAAAAACATCAAGACACAAAACCACAAATTGGAGAAGGAGCTCGGTCGAAAATCGCTTTAGCGGTTAAAAAGCGCCAATTATTATATATACATACTTACATACAAGTATGAATGTGCATATGTATGTATTAAGGAAAATCAATATCCCAATCTTTTATAACCAATCGCGGCAAATCAAGGCTTCTACCAAAATGTACCTTCTAATAAAAAGTATGAGTACAAACACACACACACCCATACGAATATACGCTAGTTAACATACATAGCTCTTGGTGGTGTCTAGGTACATAGGTACTATGAACCTAGCATTCTAAATTTCTAAGGTTTCTTGAAAAATTTCAGCGAATTCTTTTCGCGCACCCTCAAACGACCACAGCCACATCAGCGGCATTTAGTTGGACGCATTCGCTCAAAAGAAACGTGTACTTAGAATTAAATATTATAATTAAAATATATATACATACATACATACAGTTAAAATTTCATCATGCAGTTGTGTAATTTATTACTCGGCTACATCTCAGCGCTAGCTCTGGCTGAGGGTCTCAGCTTCACCGTAACTTCAAGAATATATTTAGATGTGAAACACCAAAAGAAATCTCTGGGTCGAATAGAAATCGGTCTGTTTGGGAAAATTGCACCCAAGGCTGTGGCTAATTTTAGACATATCTGTATGCGGGGCATTAACGGTACTACATATGCGGGCTCCAAGTTTCATCGCGTTATTAATCGTTTCCTCATACAAGGCGGAGATATTCTAAACGGTGAGTTAATACGAGGTCGGGATAGTAATTAATAAAAGTGTTGTTGTTTTGTAGGATTGAAGAAATTGAGAAGGTAAATGTTAGGAATTTCGAGAATCCTACTTGTGCACTTCGGTTGTTCGATGCAATAAAATTGATGAGGAAAATAGTTTTGAGCTAAGCTATGATTTTAAAGGTTCTTGGGATTAGTTTTCCTTCACCAAAGCAGATCGATGTAACTGTGGAATCGTTTCCGTTACTAGGAATCTTTAGAGTTGCAGTTCATATTTCCACCACGTAATTATTCTTCGCTGAAGCGGAAAAGCATAAAAGTTTCTCGATAGGCTTTGCCCTAAGAGTGTTCATGGATCGTTTTGTAGGGTATTCTCTTTATATTTCTATTACATAACATGTCGTCCTGGGAGAGTCATCCTTGTGGAAATATTTTAGTAATTCTCTTTCTAAAGCTGCGTCTTATAATTTAAGGTGATGGCACCGGCTCAACTAGCATTTATGGCGACTATTTTGAGGATGAAGCATTAACTGTTGCCCATAATCGTCCGGGTTATGTGGGTATGGCTAATCGTGGACCCAATACGAATGGTTGTCAATTCTATATAACTACGATATCGGCTGAATGGCTCAATGGGAAACACACGGTGTTCGGAAAAGTTCTCGATGGCATGGATACGGTGCATGCCATTGAAGATGTGAGTTTAATAAAAATAAAAGAAAGAAAATGAAAATGACACAAAAAACAAAACAAAATTTTTTTTTAGGTTAAAACGGACACTGAAGACTATCCCATGGATCCTGTAATCATTTCAAACTGTGGTGAGCTACCAACGGAACCGTTCGAATTTTATCCTGATGATTTTAAGTAAGTAAAAGAATAAAAACTATTTAAATAAAAAAATTAATAAAAATATAACTCAAATACGACAGATTAAACAGAAAAGAAATAAAATGAAAGAAAAGTAATGATGTAAAATAAAAGAAAATAATATAAAATAAGATAAAATAAAATAAAATAAAATAAAATAAAATAAAATAATATGAAATAAAATAAAAATAATATAAATATGCAATAAAAGAAAATAAAATAAAAATATAATAAAAATAAAGTAAAATAATATCAAAGAAAAACAAAATTAAAAAAATGAACGAGAAGTAATAATGTAAAATAAAAGAAAATAATATAAAATGAAATAAAAATAAATAAAATAAAAAAATTAAATAAAATAAATATATAATAAAAGAAAATAAAATATAAAATAAAATACAAAAATAATAATTTAATTTAATTAATTTAATAATTTAAAAGAAAATAATCTAAAATAAAAAATGAAATAAAATAAAGTAAAAAATTAAATTGTATTGCATGGTATTTAAATATATACATTATTGGCGCTTTGGAATCGCCGAAGCGATTTTCGGCCGAGCTCTTTGGTTTTGCGTCTTGATGTTTTTCCAACAAATGGAGGGACCCACAGTTTTCACTAAGCCACCCATCTCCGAACGGCTGATGGTTTTTTATGAGAAACTTTTGTTTTTCATGTCAGAAATACACTCGCCCCTGCCGAGGGGCGACCGCAATCAAATATTTTGCTTAATTTTTTAATGAAATTAATTTTCTAAAACTTATGGATGTTCGTCGTACCAGGATTTGAGCCCGGACATTTCGAATGCCAGTACGCAATGCTAACCACTCGGTTAACGGCGGCCGCCAAATTGTATAAATAAAATAAAAAATTAAATAAAGCAAATTGAAAAAAAATTAAACAAAAAATAAAATGAAATAAAATGCAGTAAAAGAAAATAATAAAAATATGACATAAAATAAAATAACATAAAGGAAAATAAAATAAAAAGCAATTAAATAAAATTACTTAAAATAAAATTAGCTGAAAAATAATAAAAGAAAATGCAACACAATAAAACAAAAAATAAAAATAAAAAATATTAAATTATATTAAAAAATAAAATATATTAATATATATATTAATAATATAAAATATAAGTAAAAGATATCTATAAATGTATAAATAATAATATTTAAAAAAAATTGTCCAAAGAAATGAGTAAAGGCAAATTCAAAAAAAAGATACTACTTATATCAATATAAAGCAAAATTAATTAAAAGGATATTAAATGTAAGAAAAAATAAATATTAAGTAAAACATTACTGTTTAAACAATATTTAAAATAAATTAAAAGTAATGAATAAAATTATAATTTAAACTTATTGAAAATTTAAATAAATTAAAAAAATAAAATTTAAATATAAAAGAACTTAATTAAAATAAAAGAAAATAAAATTTATTAAATTAAAAGTAAAATATAAATTAAAAAAGAAAAGAATTCAAATGCTCGATAAAAACGAAAGAAAATAAAAATAAATAAAAAAACGGAAATGAAAGAAATCAAATAAACAAATAAAAGAAAATTAAACATTGAATTAAATTAAGAAAAATATATTCAAAGGAAAATAAATTAAATTCAATACAATGAAATAAAACAAAATATTTCATAAAGTAAAATAAAAAAATTGTATAAAATAAAATAAAAGAAGAGAAAATAGCACAAAGTCAAATAAAATAAAACAAAAGAAAATAAACTTAATATATTGAAAACTAAAATAAAATAAAAAATTAAAATTAAAAAAGAATAAAGGACTTTATTAAATTAAGGAAAATATATAGAAACGAAAAAAAATTAAATTCAATACAATAAAATAAAAATAAATAAAATAAAATAAAGTTAATTAAAATAAAAACAAAAAGATTATAAAATAAAAAAAATTAAAATTTAAAAATAAAAGAAAATAAAATTAATTAATTTAAAAGTAAAATTTAAATCCAAAAAAAAAGAAAAACGAAACAAATTAAAAATAAATAAATAAAAGGAAATGAAAGAAATCAAATAAATAAAATCAAGTAGTGAATTAAATTAAGAAAAGTATATTTAAACGAAAATAAATTATATTCAATACAATGAAATAAAACAAAAAATTTCACAAAGTAAAATAAAAAAATTGTATAAAATAAAATAAAATAAAATAAAATAAAAGAAAATAACATAAAGTCAAATAAAATAAAAGAAATTAAAATAAAACAAAAGAAAATAAACTTAATATATTTAAAGCTTAAATAAAAAAAATAAAAAAAATATAAAAAGGCTCTATTAAATTAAGGAAAATATATTTAAACTAAAATAAATTAAATTAAAAATAAATAAAATAAAATAAAGTAAATTAAAATAAAACAAAAAAAGAAAATTAATAAAGTAAAAAACATTTTATAAAATAAAATAAAAGAAAATCATATAAAATCCAATAAATAAAATAAAGTAAAATGATAATAATCAATCATTTTATTAAATTTAAATAATAATAAAATAATATATGTATATAAAATAAAAGAAATAATAAAAAGGAAAAAATAGCATAAATTCAAATAATAAATAAATCTTTTCTCTAATTTTTAATTTTCTGCAGCATAATGAGCTGGGTCAAGGCAGCCGGCTTGCCAGTTATGAGCTCCTTCATAGTATTGCTCATTTTCCATTACTTCTTCCGTCAGTTAAATATGTATTGTTGACTACTACGACGTACTCTGCGTGCAGTTCGTTTCAGATTTTTATAGCTTTAAAAAAATATATTTGAATGTTCGCTAATTATAAAAAATTTTATGTATGTATATATAGCAATAGTAAAATTTTACATGTTAATAAAATTTAAAATGAAGATTTCCAGCTGAGTGCAGCCATTCATTATTTTGAGTTGTTTGACTATTTTATTGTGTGCTTCGAAATCATGCCTCTCAGCAGAATGGGTAGTGTGGGGCCGAGGTGTAGCTGAAACGAAAATTATAAATTTTTTATAACCTATACGCGATCGGACTCACGTCAATGTATAGATAATCCTCGATTATTTGTCCCTCCTCATAGTACTTCGCCTCGGGTTTTATCAGCACCACAATACGCGCTTCGCCGCTGTAATAGTTCGTTTTGCTATTGCTGAATATTTTGCAAAGCGTAAAGTGATGTCTATGATCCTCGTAAACGGATTTATTTAAACTGTTATAATAGTTTTGTAGCTCCTTGCGTTCCTTAGCGCCCACTTCCAAGCGCGTGTGTTGCTCCCTCTTGTCGAAGTCAAAGGAGTGTGCATGTTTAACCTTCGGATCTGTTTCCGCATCGATGACACGCTCGTACATATTGCGATAGCGTTTGCCCAATAAGCTGGGTGATTTCTTTTCAGCCGCATAAAAGAGATAATCATGATCCTCACTAAATGAAAAAATGAATGAAAAATATATATAGTGATTTCCTGAGTCGAGTCATATTCATAATGCGCTCCACAAACCTCTTTTTCACTTCGAAGTCTACATATAAACCGGGTATTTTCACCGCCGTGCGCACAGATGCAATCAATTTTCCAGGTCCATGGAAATGCAAATCGATGATGAATTTTCTCAACTGACCCAAAACCAACACATTCATGTTCAAGACAAATCCCTGTTGCTGGAACGGCAGTGGTTGTGTGGTGAAATGCTTCAAATTGATTGGCATGGTTTCACCATAGATGTTGATCAATTTCAAATAGTCCTGATGCACTCTACGCAACATTGCTACCGTTTTGGGATTTTCACGTAATTGCCGAAGAAACTTTTGCGTTTCGATTAGCTGCTGCAAAACGCTCGCATGTGGTAGTTCAGCGTTGTTGTTGATAATAACGTAAGTTTTCATCATGCGATAGAAACGCGCCTCGCGGCTACTCGACGTACTCTTCGTACTGTCCGTGCGTATGGTGCTGATTGAGTATTTAGTAGTTAACAAACTCACATTATCCTCCTCTCTTGGCGCTGGCATATCCTCATCGTATTCGGTGATCGATTTGAATACTTCAAAGTAATAGATTCCTTGCAGCAATTCATATTCGCCTAAGATTTCATCACGTGCCTGTTCGGGACGTGGCAATTTCGTGGTTATCTCGATGATAGGCATAATACCCTGTCCACGTAGATGTATTATCTGCTCTTCACTCTTGTTAGCGGTAACCTGTATGTCGTGCGCGAATTGTTCGGAGAAGCCCATCAATCCCTCGAGTGACAAAATTTTCGATTTGAATTTACAAATATCGAAAGTACGGTTGCCAATGATTTTAGCATAACCCAGACTGAGACGTTGATTTTTATCCATAACTGTTTTGTGACTTATACTCACTGTGATGGGATATTGAGTCACATTGATTATGCGCACCGAGGTCTTGAAGAGCTCATACCAAGGCTGTAAATAGAGGAAATGCGATAATAAGTGGATTTGGGGAGTTTTAAGCTTTTTTCGACGAACCAGCTATCAATCGACCGATTGGTGGGCCTCAAAGATAAAGCTGAGCTGCCCGAACTGATCTCATCTAGTTTCAAGAAGCGACTGCCGACGGCAAGTCGTTCCTGGAGATCCCTCAATCGTGGCACTTATTTATCTAACAAGACCCGACCTGTTTAAGCAGGGTAGAGTGGTTGCGCTACTAGAACCGAGAAAACCAGTCAACAAAAGAGAATCACTGTCGGCTGATATCTCTTTTTTCTCCAGCCTTAAGGTCTCACTTATATCTTTGCTTTCACTTACAGCGTTTCAGCAGCACACATCACCACAACTGCACTTAACGTAAGGCCTTAACGCTGAGCTCGAGCTTACCTGGTAGCACTGGATATGTCAAAAGCCTTTGATGCTTTGAATCGCGCATTGCTGCAACTATCCGACATTGAAGGAGTCTCATTAGCGCCAGGGTAGAATTTGTAAAGTACGAATTACCTCTGCTAGACTATTCCAGGAACCACCCCCACCAAGGTACTTAACCTAAGTGATTCCTTTAAGCACCACAGGTTAGAACTGCTAGGCCGGACGATTTCCTGAAAGGCTCCAAACACGGAGTCCAATTACCACTCATAGCATACGAAGAGCTGCCTTACACAGCTAGAGCACCAATAAGGTCTGGATGTTATAGTAGACTCAACTTCTACCTTGACCCCGACATACTTAACCTATGTACTGTAAGCAATGAGCCCCGCACAACACTTGCTTGCATGCCAACAAAACCCCACTCATCGAACAGCCCTCTGCCTCTGTCGCAAGCCTGTCGAAATATGTAGTTCACTTTCTGGCCGTTACCGCCTGATCCCAAGACAGATCGCACAGAGCTTAGCAACTCTTTTCTTTCTCTTACAATTGAGTTAAGCTCTATTTTTACTAACAGAAATCGGTGACGGTTTTATATAGTTTTACATGTAGGTAGGGCCAGATCTTGATACTCGAATTGCTACCCAGCCATCTACTTTTCACTCTTATACCTAACTCCCCTGCTTTTAATTTTCGATAATGTATATTAAGCCTTTTATCATAAAGAACATTCGGGAGACTGGGGTTCTAGTCCTGATTCAACCAACCATAAGAAGCCATCAGCCATCAGCAATCAGAATAAGCTGTGGTTGGGTTTGTTAAAAATCATCAAGACTCATATCAAAAATTGGAAGAAGAAGAACTTTTGCCACATCAACAGTTATGACCGATAAGAAAGGCTTTGTAATTTTTTAAAAGCGCACCTACCAAGACACCAAGGTATAAGCTTTCAGATGAAAATTCCATCACCCTCTCCAAATTTATAAGGGTTATGTCGAATTGCTGATGACAACTGCCCACTGTATCAAGAATAAATACAGCCGTCTTGGCATAACCTGAAATAAAATTAAAGCTATTTCATTATTAACAAGATAAAAGTAGACGCTTCACCGTTACTCACCCGGTTTCACAGGCGGTAGAAACAACGCCGATTGTGCAGTAGTAAATTTGGCGACGTTACCAGTTTTTTCGATGAAATGTATCCTTCGATTGCTATCACACTCCTCCACACTCTCCTGCGATAAGTCATAGGAATCCTCCAACTTCAAGCCGTGTAACAGGGCATCTACAGTTTTACGCACAAATTCACCGGAACTGCAACGTCTCGCACTCAAACAAGAGTCACCATCATCCTGTTCATCCATTGTCATCATATAACGTTTATGTTCTAAATCCAAATTATCGATAATTTCATCGATAATACCCTTAATACCTATTGGGTCTTCGAGCCTATGCAAACGACAACGAAATTTCTGATAACGTAATGTCATATTACGTTCGTACAGGGAGTCCGTGTCCGAATCGCTGTCGTAAATATCTAACATACGTAGGATTTCGGAGAGTATGTCAACTGAAAATCTATAGGTGTCATCATACTAGGGGTTGTGGGGGAAAAACGATAAATCTATAATTATGCGAAAGAATACTTTGTTTTTCGTCTTACATCAGAAACATATGTCGTCTTCTCTTCGACTTTCTTCCATTTGTATTGGGCATTCAAACAAGAAATATTTCGCAGCTCTACATAAGTGAGACTCTCTCGTTCTCGTGTGAATAGTATCATATCCGGTTGTGTGATTTTCAATTCTGGACTACGAATAAGCAACTTTAATGGCAGAGATCTCTGGGTGGCATGAAAGGGATGGAAGTGGAGAGAGAGAGAGAGAGATAAAGAATAATTGTTAGATTAGTTTATACGAATTTAAATACTTTTGAAGTTTTCTCTTCACCTGATATTTATCATTGGCTTCGCACAGTATGCGCCCATCAACGGTGGAACAAAATTCATCCCGGATCGCCGCTTTATGTAGTGATATTATTATTTCTTTCTCCTCTAAGCCAGCCATACGAAAATGTACGATTTTTGTAAAACTATGCTCAAATAAATGTTTTATCTTGAAGGGTCCGACGATCTTCAGCGAAACATTACACTCTACGTTTCCCATATTCTTCAAACAGGCTATAGCTGTTGGGAGCAAGGATAATTAAAAAAGAAAATTTTTTAAAAAATTAATTACTGTTTAATATTTATGCTGTCCCAAGACGTTGAGATTCTGCAGTTTAAAACGATCTGGTAGCTATGAGAAGAGAGCCAAAGAAACATACCTAATCTGAATGAACGGCTAAATAAGAGTGGAGAATAAGTTTGGTTATGCCAACTGGCTGTAAGTCTTAAATAAATTAGCAAGTTTAGATTCATAACTAAATTATTCATCATATAGGCCGTCAAAGCTCTTTGCGAGCCTTAATATCAAAGACGAGTTCTACAATAGATAAGGCCCGACAGAAGCAGAGGAGAGAGGTGTTCTATCGTTTCACTCATGCTTTCCTCCGTGCTCGTCCTACATTCTGAGTGGTCCGTGTAGACATTGCAAGTTCTGTTGGGGGACCGCATTTTCCTGCATTATCGGTTTGAACCTTTCCTCTCCATGCAAAGCGTAGGGGTATGAGATCAATTGGCCACCAATCCCTTTTCTATCCAGCTATGGTATGCTAAGGTTCTTGCAGAAAATTCATTTGACGCCGCCAACCTGACAGTTGATTTTGCTGTAATACTTTACACTGCATTGTGAGAGGTTGAGTGAGAGGGTGAGTAACCTTTCGAGAGTTGAGGTTGTCTCTTATATAGAGAGCAGAGAGCCACAGCATTCTCTCCTACAATTTTCTGCATAAGATTTTCGCGAAAGCGGTGCAGTCATCAAATCAGCATAATCATCAGCCAAAGTAGCGCAGCAGGTGTAAGGCATGTCTGTGGTAAGCGGCGACTCAAATCTGATAGCTCATGGGACAATCGGGTCCTTATACCGGAACGAGCCGAAATAATTTGACCTGACTACCGCTGTGAGACGATCTGTGCCATGTAGAACCGAGCATCCCTTTGCCCAGACATTACTCACGAGGAGAATACGACTAAGAAGATTTTCGCCGACCAAGAGCGGAAATTGGCTAAAGTTAAAATATTCATGGTTATTTTGAAAACATTTCCAATCACCATGTAGTATCTAATCAGCGAGGAATCTAGACATCTGCAGGGCAATTCTCTATCGTATTATATCGATTTTCGGATCGTTATAATGACTTAACGATAATTTTAACGATTTTGCTATTCTCTAAGCACAGTATAACGATTTTCGGATCGCAAATTAGACTTAGCGATATTTTTAACGATAATCGCTATTCTCTAAAATGGTATAACGATTTTCGGATCGCAAAGAAGACTTTGCGATAATTCTAACGATTTTAATATTCGGTGTACTTGTTATAACGATATTCGCTCTCGCTATTGTCGTAAACTACTCGAAAAATCGCTAACTAAGCGACGAATATTTTTAAGTTGTTAGCGATATCGACAAAATTTTGTTATTTCATTTAAGAGAGTAAAGTGTCCGGGAAATTGTCAAAGTTATACAAAAATAAAAATAAAAAAATAAAAGAAATGGTTTTGAATATTTGGCATACGTTTTATCACAATATGACGAGGTATCCTAATCTTCATCATTGAATAGAAGTTTGCGTCGAGAAGCGGAAGATCCTTTTCATTTGGATGCTACCGAGTTTCGCCGGATTTAGTTGAAGAAATCGTTTCTGAACTAGATTGCCAACTAAAAGGAAGAAGAATAACAGCATTGTCTACGGAGAAACAGGTAATAATATATATTTTCAATATTTTTTTTAGTCTTAACACTATTATAATGTTTAAAGGTTCTACCCGCCTCGCGATTTTTTGCAATGGGCATGTCCATGAGTCAGTCGTCAGTAAACCGTTGTGTTCATCGCGTAACAGACGCAATCAACCGTTCAAGGTTTTCTGTTAGTTTTCCAAATTTTTGCTTCGTCATCGTCACCATATGTTGGAGGCACTATTGGAGCTATCGATTGCACATGAGTTAAAAACCATGAAGAAGCGTATATAAACCACCATGGATACCACTCCATCAATGTGCAAATGGTGAGAGTAAATTTGTTTCCGATTACTATTGTAGTAACAAAGTTAATTATATTTTCACATAGATATATGGTCCTTATCGCAAGATTATACTGGCAAATGCCAAGTACCCAAGAGCGCGGCACAATTATTTTATTTGGAGCTCCCCTATAGAGCGAAGAGTCATGCATGAAAGTGCAAACCATAACATGCTATTGAAAAACTTTGTAATGCATTGCTATTCTTTTAATTAAAATAATTTCAATAACAAATTTATTTGTTTTTGTCATTCCTCTTTGTGCTTTTCGTACATTTTGACGTTTCGTTGAGCTGTGGTGCCACCTTTCCTACATTTTAATAAAATGGAAATGTGCGATGTCGATTATCGTAACAACTGCGTTAGAGAATCGCATAATCGTTAGCGCAAGCGACAAAATTCGTAACTTTGCGATCCGACAAATCGTGTCGATAAAAGTTACAGAATTGCACTGCTGGTCAATACAGCGTTGTATCTAAGGTCTTGAATCTACTCAACTTGTCCATGATTCGGCAAAGAAAGCTCGAAATATATATCTGTTTTCCAATAATGTTTAAACGGTTTTAAGGAGAGACTCAAGTTACTCTATTCAACCTTCAATTTGGATCATTACATTATAGATCACCCTTTGGCTCATATAAAGATATCAACACCCAGTAAAGCTTACAAAGAGGAATGAAAAAGGGTTTGCAAGAACTAAAGACAAACTCATTTCGTAACCAAGAATTTTTCAAACATTAGAGTGCCCTTGGACTCACTATCTAACGACCTAAAACCGAAATGGAAATATCCACCCTTACCCAGCACTGGATGCTCCTTATAGATATGCGTTCTAGTGTATTCCATTTGTATTTGTTTCTGACACCAATGCAGCTCCGGTTCGACAAATGTGGCAGTGGCTACAAAGCGGGCTGTGTGCACCTTCAACTTGTGCTCCTGATCGATAGTTCTCACGAGAAATTCATTATGTATTACGCCTGCCTCACACGACTTTGCTGTTATATATATTTTATTTTCGGATTGTGGTTCAAGACACAACATCTTGGGTGACACAGTCAGATGTCCCTGGCCGAGTTCAATGGCGCATTTAGTTAAATTATTACGCAACTTATCGATGTGGAGACAGTACCGATGTTTGCCTTTATTAGTCAATTTCACTTCTTGTATATACTTTGGCGTATCCGAACCGTATCTTTCCTGACAATTCACCATAATTGTACCACAGTCGTGACCATAAAAAATATTCGGATCAACGAGTACGGGTGAACCTTCTACGACATAGGTTAGTGGTATTTCCTGTGAAGAAGTAGTTTTAGCTGGAGAATGGGGTATTTTTTTTCTTTCTGAATGTACTCACTATAGTGTCACAATTGGCCACGTTTATGACTAGCGTGTTGTGGTAGGTATCAGCATCGTGGAATTTTGAGAAAATTGACACATATGTGCCTTGACCTTCAGGTCCGAGCATGGCGCCACTCGGTTCGATATATTGATGCTTGGAGCTTTTCTGAAAGTACAATATTAATAGATGTAAAAAAGTAATTATCTTAATCTGCAATACCATCTGTGCTCTTTTGGGCAGCAAACAATGAAAGATGCGACTTTCACGTATTAAAACAAAACTCTTTACTCTCTTAGTCTCAATCAGTTAATACGGAAAGAGCGCTCACAGCAGCTTCGGTCGTTTGGCGTCGTGTGCCAATATAGTCTGGGAGCTTTTAGTAAAGCATGCTTCATTTGGATAAGCGGAGTTTGAACTGAGTCCGAAGTCAGTGACTTATAGTAGACAACATAATATGATCTCACATGACTCTCGGTCCTTCATATTATAAAAGCCCGAATTTTTTTCCGACCAAGGACTTGAGAAAACGACTTTCCGGTATATTTTGCAGTTCCATCAACAACACTAACTTAGACACGGGTTACCTCGCTCTCGATATTAGTAGAGTCAGACGATTTTTGAACAAGTAAGGAGTACAACAAAGCCATAAATCAACGTTGTTGGACAGATTTAAGTTTGAGGTACCGATGCTTCTGCATATTAATTATTCTTCATTCTTCTGCTTCACTGGCGTAGGCACCGTTTATGCGATTATATACCTTTTAGTTCTTCGATAAAAGGCAAGAAATAAATCCTCTATCGATGAAAGCAGATCAAACAATGGCTAATGAGCTGTCATCGAAGGAAATATCCTTAATTTTATAAGCTTCACTGATCTGCTGCGGCCCACTATAGGCTGAATAAAAATATTGAGGGATCAAACTTTACTCAGGTAATGTAACGGAAACAAAGCAAATTAAGCCAACAAACTCGCTATGAAGAAGATTTTCTCATTTGTGATGGGGGTTAAAGACGTTAAGATGACAAAGAAACATGCAGTCTACCAACAAAATTCAAAACTCAAAAAAAAAAAAAACAAAGCTGAAATGGATCTCAAACAGCTTACTGTAGTACTTTTTAAAGAAAGTCTTCACTTTAAGAAAATGTGCGGAGCTATCTGCAGGCAATACCATTAGAAGTATAAATATTTACGTTTGATAGACAGGTAGGAGTTAAAGCCTGAACCTCACATCGTATAATGTCGGAAAATGTTCTTAGAAGCAGGTAAATAGTGGGCGGCTGCAATGCAAACACAGCACATTCACAGGGTTTCGATCCACAAGAGCAGTTCGGAAAACGCAAAAAATTATGAAATTCACAAAAGCTCAATTCGTCTGACGACGGAGCCGAAACAGCAAGGCATACCAAACACCTCAAAAAACTCTGTGCAAGAAATTCAACGAAAAAGCTGGAAGACGCTTCGGGGCTAGATGGAATGGCTTAACGGCCTTTAGGACAGCCAAGATCGTGTGTAAAGGCAGTGAAAGAAGAAACAAAAAGTTTTTGCTTAGGCGATCTTGGGAGGACGGCAAGACGGTTGAGGTGTAGGCTAACCTAACCTAACCTAAAATATGTCAAATTAACCCCAAGCTCGCTAATCGGCTTTGGAGACACTTACTTACCAATTTCATTGTGAATCTTGTTATCGTTGGCGTCTCATTAGTTATGATAATGCTCTCTACGGTTCTCTCGAGTACCTTTTGACGTCGATAAATATATGTGCGAGAAACATGAATTTTTACGGGATTTACATCAGCGATAATATGAAATGGTGAACCGTTTAGGTTGCCAACAATTTTTATGCTGAAAATTAGAAAATAAAAGTTTAAAAAATTATACGAATTTAAAAAAATTGGGAACCAACTTACAGTCCAGAGAGCTTCACTCTGCCCAACCGATGGAAGATTACCGTACATTCCACAACAACATTACCCTTAGAGGGTATGAAAAATTTCAAAATATTATCGGGAAATATCATTTCGCCTGAATCATCTGCAGGCTGTTGGAAAGAGTATATTAAAAATATTTAAATTTTTAAGCTTTTTGTTTTGTTCAACTCACTATAACATCGTAGTAAAAAAATCCCGGTATACTTGAAGAGTTCTTGAACAGCATAGCGCATGAAATCATATCGTCGATATAAGTAATTGCCGTTTCATAATTAATGACCTGTGTGAAATTGATAACTGGCAAACGACACGCATATTCCATCCAAATTTTCGCCGTAAACATTTTCGAATGTACAAAGAATTTCTCACGTACATCCCAATCGACATCGGTTGTCTTCGAGGCCAAGTTCGGCTCGGTTATCGGGCAAATGCGTACATTCAACGAACGACTGAACTGGCCAACACGGTTCGGTATAAGTAACACGGTAACGGTTTTGCTGCCGTTCGGTTGTAGATAAATAATTTCTCTATCACAATAAATCTCTTTTGGATTAAATGGTATAATATTCCAATCCATTTGAGCATAGTTCGCGAACTGTGTTAGTGAGCCAAAGTAGTTAGTGTTCAAGAGCACCTCTAGGGTGTCGTTAACAACATATTCCTCGGCTTCTTTTTGTTCCAAATGGCGTGTCTCCCTTAATTTCCTTACGATGGTGAATGCCATATCGGGTATGTTCTCTGAGAGGGATAATATGGAGAGTAAAGTAAAGAAAAACATGCAAATGGGGAATTCACAAGATGTCGTTTTCGACGTTTTTCGTAAGTACCAGAAGGAGAAGAGATAGACCCATTAAAATTTGAGTCGATATGATCAGAACGACGAGCTGAGTTGATTTAGTCATGTCTATCTGACCGCCAGCTTTTATACAAACTAGTCCCTCACTTTTGGAGATATATATTAAGCTGTCTGATAGAAGATAAATCCTCCATAAAAATCGGTTTTTCAAATATGTGATTTTTGGGCAAAAATCCGTCAGAAAAGCATCTAAAAGTATGAATTTTAGTAAAGTAAGGCCAGAGCTTGAGTACAGATCTGAAAAACATCTAACATAATAGAAACTTAATTGCTCTAATAACGGAAATCTCTAGCTCTCCGGGTATATTTCTCACATGAAAACCACAACTCCTCATAAAACTCGCCTTTTTGAAGGTGACTTAGTATAAACTTTGGGCCCATCCGATTATTGAAATACGTATTCCACATGTAGCGGGAGGAACGCGGCCGAGAATCGCATTAGCGGTTAAAAAGGGGCTCAAGAACGCCACAGGCGCACGACGCCCTTGAATACATTGATCGTTTTGTTAGCTGCATAACATGTAGCGTCGTATTGTTGGAACCAAAGATCGTCCATATCAACATGCTCCAATTCAGCCCGGCGAATGGAATGTTTCGGTTCTTCTTCAATTACCCTGCTGCAGCAATTGCGTCTCTGAGAATGCACAGTAACAGATGTCAAAATAAACAACCTCCGAAAAAAGTTTTGCCTCATTGAAAACCACAAAGATGTGTTCAGTCTTGTGATCTCCCTCATTTTGTTGTTTATTTTATTTTTTAGATCATGAATTTTCCAATCAAGCTCACCTATGATCTGCTCCTCAAAATATGAGCTACATGTGGAAATTTCCGTGCTCACCGAACGATAGGAGAGCAAAGACTCCTCCTTACTTGTCAATTGTATCACTTGATCTTCTAGTGGGTGTGCATCGATTTCTTCCTCGGCCATTGATATCATTGCGGTTATATAATCTTTAACGGTTATTACTGGTAGACCATCAGCGTCGTCAACATTCAACACCAACGGTATCTCATCGCCATCTTGTTCAACGGAAAATTGTACCGCCACCGGTACCATAAAGGGATTCACTATCAATATGAAACGTTTGCATGGTATACCAAATGGTACATGTCCAATATACAATTCATCGGGAAACATTTTGACGCGTGCATGGAGTGAATGACCTCTGTGGGGAGCGTGTAGGAAGAGGAAGAGAGAAAGAGAGAGAGAGATAGGGATTATTTGTAAGAGATCTAGTCTTCATTTAAGCAAAACTCTGAAGATGATTTACGGTAAAATTTGTGTTAACCAAGCGGAGTGACTTCTTATCATACTATTTATGGAATGTACAATGCCAGAAGCTCTGAAGCTCTTTGCATTCGAATACAGTCGGAGAAACTCAGCATCCATGACAAAACATCGTCAAACGATCTAGGGCTGATCGACTTCGCCGGGGTCCGAAATACGGTTGGTTGTGGTACTAGACTTCCGCAAAAGAAAATCCATCATGCCACGTGGCTGTCAAAAATGGCGGAAGATACATGTCTCAAGTGTTTTAGACGCGCTTGCGCCCCGAGAGCCCAAAATCGACTCGGATCAGTATCATGCAACAGAAAGTATACAAAACCGCCTCTGTTCAACAAAGAACGTCAATAGACAACAGAACTGTTTTGTACTTAGCTTGCTCTGCTAATCTCTGAGATTGCTCAGCATCAACTCGATATGAGGGCACTGTGGGAAAACATTTCAAGCTCCTTTTGTACAGCCTCGCAAAGGTAGGTGGCATAGATATCGTAGTTGAAGAGGGAATTGAGAAGCATTTAGACGGAAAAAAATAAAAGTGTGAAAGCTTGAGAAGCTGGCTTTAGACCAAGTAAACCCACCATTGACCAGATATTCACGAGATCTCAGACAAGGTAATTCCCTTTCGTGTGACCTCTGGGAAAAATAATAAGAGCTTTTGAGCTGAATAGAGAAGGTGCAATATTCCACTCCGTTGGAAAGATCAGAGGAGAAAAACATGACTGTACTAAGTATTTCCAATTTACGCCAAACAGCCTAGAGTTTGCAATTTTCACCACTCTTTTATGTCGGATTCCTTATACTCACTTTATATTGATTTCTTCGACGTCACCATTTTTGATCTTGAAACGTAATTTAGCCACAAAAGCTCCTACGACTCGTGCAAAAAATGATATACGAAAAATACCACTTTTGCAAGGCTCTAAAACGTAACCCTCCTCTGGTGTCACAACAGCGCCGGCAGTATCGGCATTATAAACATCCTTGAATTTTATGTGAGCATTAATTTTACCTGGCGAAAGAGAAAATTAAAAGTGTTCAAATAGTTAGCTAATTAGTTGGTTATTGTAATTGCTTGATGGCCGAACACTGACAAAGCACACTTGGGGTTGCTAATTCACTGTGCTATCTATAGTTGGACTGTGGTTCAATTCAACTTTGTTCTCTTCTCTTCGTTCAATGACTAAATTTGTGATTACATTGCATGGGGTTTCACTCCGCCATCTGCTATTGGCCCTACTCCTGGTGATGATTCATCTTAGCAGGTATTTTGTCGACAGAAGAGTATACGTTGACGTGTGCAGAAATTACGATGCTCTAGCTAGCTTCGGTAGGCACACAATTCTCTGGGTTGTCTTTCTCCTGCACCTCATTACCACCTTTGTGGTGGTGTGTTTTGACATTGAAGAAACTTAATTGCAGCTTCTATTACTTCAGTTAGTTCTGCTTTGACGTTGCTCTCACTCATACCGATTGCGAATGGTACTGAAAATCGCCTAGTATATATCTCGCTAAACAAACTTGCATTCAAAAAATGAGCTCTCCAAGCAGTTGAAGTCCGAACGAAGTACTCGCTGGGAGTTTTGGCGTATTTTGGTAGCTGTAGATGCGAAGAAAGACGTGGATACTCACCATCAATATTCAGCGCCTTGACTAGTGTGCAATGCTCTTCACCCATATAAACATTACGCAAATATATCTCTTTTGGTGTCATCTCGACTTGTGGCCCAATTATAAACCCTTGAATGTTAATTGCTTTACGATTTACCGAATCATTCTCTTGTTGGATTGATAAAAATAATTGTGTACGCACTCTATGCGGAGAGACAGTCTCTTCATTGAAATCGCATTCGGCCAGCGTAACCGGATGGAAGGTAATATTTATTTCTTTGGAACTTTTGCCTTTAATTATGAAACTCTGCGAATACGGAGGCAGTCTTCAATATACTTGTTACCGTTATTTATGCAATGAAGTTAATACACACCTCTTCATGCAAGCGAAAGTGTTTATAAGCAACTAAAACACACGATGGCTCCATAGCCTGTAATAGCGTTGTAAAGGAGGAATAACTCAGCACAGAAGAGATGCGTGAACGTCTTGTTCCAAGTTCGAATTCATACTTTTCATCCAATTGCGATTGTTCGGTAAGATATTTAGTCATAATATTTATGTCGTCTTCTCCTTCGTTGCAAATCATAAAATTTCGCGTTGATTCACGTTCATATTTTAACTCCTCAAAATTTATGAAATTTGTGTTTATGTAATAGGAATTATGTAATGGAATATGCATTATTTTCAACTCCACATTAGCTGTAAGGGAACAAAAATTGTACAAATATTAGTCCAGTTAACTGTCGAGCCATACTTACCCGTGTCTACTTTGATTTTGATAATATTTTGGGTAAGTCTTGATTCAGTTACCTTGAGCGCTAGTAATATTCTCAAGTGCTCATGCGGTGGTACTTGAGTTTTCGTTTGGCTTACTTTCACGTTTTTCAATTTGCTACAAGTTTGAGGTTATGTTGAGTATTGGAGCTTTTATATGGGCTAGTTCTTAATTTTTTAATAATTACCTCATAAATAAAAATTTTAGCGCTTTCTTGGTTGGATTATAAGCGATAAAGTCATAGTAAGAAATTTCATTTGGCACGGTGGAGGGGAAATCAATTGAGTTTGGCACATAGCATTTGTTCATCCCCTTTAATACTGTTAAAAAAAAACAACATAAAATTTCAAATGTAAGCAATTAAACTCCAGCTCACCTAGTTAGAATGAAAAATACCGTTATTTCTTATTTAAAAGATTGAAATAACAATATCATAACAACAAAAACTTACCAATAATGGGTATTTCAAATGTTATATTTGGATGCTCGGATTCGATAAAAATGTGTCTTATAGCATTGTGCAGGCTATTTTCATTTGGTGTAATTACAACCTTGAATTCGAAAATTTCATCCGGTTGCAGGTAGACGTGCTCCCATGAGAGTGGAAATATAATATTTGTATCCATTAAACTATCCGTGAAATAGTTTAAATTCCGTGGATACTGTTGTGTGCAAAGAAGACATTGAATTATAAAACATTAAAATGGCAAAGAAATAAATAGAAACTTACTAATCCCTTATTTTTAACAGTAATGACTTGAGTATACATTTCTCTTTTATTAATTTTTTTGCAAATAATAACACGTGGCACTATAATCAGCGTGTCAACCAGATTTGACATATGTGAGTAATCTGCGGTAAAAACCATAATGAATACAAAATTTATTTCTCAAATTTTACGCACAGAATTTGTATGCATTTAAGTGTTTTTTTTAATTTACAATTTAATTCTTACTCACATTGCTTGGCAGAACAACAATAGTTGGTTTTCGCCATTTTTGCGTATAATCTTCCACTATTTACGTAAATATGTAACGACTTTTCGAACGCAAACTCAAAAGACTACTTCCGTTTTCTTTGATTTGCTCTTTTTCTTTTATTTTCTAATCAGTCACAGCCACCCATGCACTATTGTGAATGATTGAATGCGCACAGATGTCTATTGAATACGAACAGCTGTTTCAATTTATTAGCGGTGTTGAGCTCGTGTGTAAAAATATATTATTAATTTTCTGATTTCTTAATTGTTTAATAACTTTCAGAAAATTAGACAATTCTCAAAACTGTCTCGTGCAGCAACATTTGGAACATAGACACCTAGATAGCAGTAGAAGAAAAATAACAATGTCACAGCTACTACGACAAGGTAAGTGGTTTGTGTATTTTTGTGTTAGTATCACGTTATACAACAAGTTCAGCAATTCTCATTATTTTGCAGCAACATTACTCTCTTGTCGTGCACCCATCACACAATCACAACGTTTTCGTGGTAAAATCAATATACAACGTCCACGAGCACCACATTATGAACGTGCCAAGGTGTTGGCTGTAGCACAATCTATACCAGCGGTAGTGGAGGAACCCAAAAAGAAAACAACATGCTTTCAAAGCCGCCGACGTGAGACCAATATGGAAAATCCATATCTGACAATAATTGCGCGTGAGGTACGCAATTGGTTGCTTCATTCACGTATGATTGGTTTCTATCACATGAATTCCATCAAGCAAGATGATCTCTTCCCAGTGCGCGTACAATTACATAAACAGAATATGCATTTAAAATCATATGGCAAGGAGGTTGTGAAAAAAGCTGTGGAAGGCACACAATTTGAAGCAATTTTACCACTATTCGAAAGCAATAACTGTATAGTTTTCTCAACCGAGCAACGTGTGAGTCAACTTTTGCGCATAACTCGACGTGTACCACAAATGATATTAATGGCCGGCATTGTTGATGAACGGCTACTCAGCCGTAATGAATTTATGGCGTATGCACAATTGCCGGGCCTACAGGCAGCCCAAGGAGAATTAGTGCAAACACTCAATATGGCAGCTAGTAATTTAGTACAGCAATTGGAAACACATCAAAAGAACTTTGTAAATGTTTTGGATGTGCATGCGAAGGGTGAGACGAATGATGGTACTACCGCGCCGGCAGCAACGCCAGTTAATGAAGAAAAACAACCAGAGAAGGCGTGAAATTGAAATGCTAATTTAATGTTATAAAAAAAAGGAAAAATAAAAAATTTACTTATTATTAAAAATACACAAATGACGAAGTGGCACAAAATAATTTATAGCAGCGGAAGTCAAGGTTGGTACAGACTACATTCATAGTAAAGCGACAAGTGTGGGAGTAAGAAAGGAAAGAATGAAAAGAAAACAGGCACGTAATTTTCTAATAAATAATATTTTACTGTATGATTTTAATTCTTCTTAGTTTATTAATTTAATTCACTTTTGCCATAACCGTTGAATATAAAGCAATCGTTGTTCTTCCACTTTGGAAAATCTATAAACTTATTTTATTTTAATATTTAATACTTACTCAAAAAAAATCTTTTTGATTTAATTCACCATTTTTTTTCTCAAAATATTTTTCTTTTAGATATTTTATTTTTTATTTAATCATTCGCTCTTTACGCACTCATTTCTTTGTCTTTTAAACTCTTTATTAATGATAGAAAGATAATTTTCTAATATCTCTTTTGCTTTTGCACCCAAATATTTACACTGGAATGCTTTTTCGTGTGATGTAAATTTTAAAATCCCTTTACACATACTCGTACATACAAACATACATATGTATGTGCATAATAACTAGGAACCAATTGCATTTATTCTCTGTAGACTACCATTAGTTTGATTACAATCCATAACTCGTTGTCGGCAATTAAATGCCATATTTGCTAACGCCTCAGCAGCGTCCAATTCTAATTGTGTTGGGCAGGAATTTGTGTTTTGATGTTGCAGGTTGTTTGAGTTAGCCGGTATAATGGTCACACGTCGTAGTTGTTTAATGCATTGTTTGCGCTCCAATTTGCCGCTGAAAAGGAAGAAAGTAAGGGCTTAGTATTAAATTAAACATTTCAATATTAAAAATATATGTATGTATGTGCATATTTATATAGTTAACTTACGTTCTACCATTCCACTCGATAAAATAGTTATTTTTGTCTGGCGTGAAACGTGCCGCACTCTCTAGCCACTTCGATAAGGCTGTATTACCAACATTACTTACGGCATCACCAACGCCGGCTGCACCGATATCAATCTGTTTGGCGTTTAACTCAGCGTTTAGAGTATGTATAACTGATTTTGCTTCATTAGTATCGCGCAGATATTTTTCCATCATTTTCTGTTTGTACTTTGCAGTTTGCACGATCAAGTTGGGTTTCTCAAGTACTTGCGGTAAACTATTTGTTACTTGTTGCGCCGTTGTCGCCTCGCTATAAAGTCTAGCATTATTCGGGCATGCCACCCCGATAGCTCTACAGGTGCTTGGTGCTTTTGTATGCCGTAAATCACATAATTCTTGCTTCAATAAAGCAGGCTGTATTTGTTTAAAATTATTATAACAATATCCTCTCGAAGAGCTGCCCGTACCCTCGGTGCCACTAGAGATGCCATCTTCACGCGATTCATCATATTCATCAACATCACTACGTTTGAATTCATCATCATCATCATCATTATCTCTTTGAAATTCCTCCTCCTCCCAAATACTATCCTCTGATGATATACTAAATTGTTCCACATTGCCGCGTGCATTTGTATTGTAATGCTTAATGAGATGACCCCAAGATCTTTGATTGCGTTCACGTTCGGAATTCTTTAACTTACGCCGCCAATTGGCAAACCAATTGCAGATTTGCGTATACGTCAGACCGGTTTCGATAGCTAAGCGTTTCTTTTCCTCGCGACTTGGATAGGGATTTTCACGTCGACGCACAAGCCAATCCTTCAACATGCGTTTAATATCGGGCGTAAAGAGACGCTTAACGAGGCGGGGTTGATGTAGATCATCTTCGGGTGGCCAGGCGCGTCTGTAAAGCAAGTAAAAGTTAATAAAGAAAATGAAACAATTAAGTGCGCCCTCAAGTATGCTACGCTAAAGAAACTTACAGTTAATGGGGTGAAACAGCAAAAAAGTGGTTAGAACGCCTTAGAGTATGCAATCATTGAGTTATAATGTAGCAGCAGAGACAGCAAGCATTATTATTTTTTCTGTTTTGTTAATACAACTAAAACAAGTAAGAAACATATACATACAAACATATATAATTTGATGTTAAAAAATATTTATTGAAATAATATAAATATTTTTTATTTTCTTTATTGGAAGTCAACGCATGTCAACAAAGTATATCGTGCCAATTTTCATACAAACATATATGTATATGCAAACATATTGTATGTACATATTGTACAAACGCACCTGCTATGTCGCCGATTACGCTGCGGACGGCCAGTCATAAATTTCTCCATTTCGTTATTTGAATGCAACTGATGATACAGCTATTTTTAGAAAACAAAAAGAGATTAAGAGCTTTTAATTCTCTTAATTAGATTTAGAATATGCAATTATGAAACGTGGGATTTCGAAAATATTATTAGCACAAAATTAATAATTATAAAAATTTAAAAAATGGTTTTAGCTCATAAAATGTATAAAATTTTTTTTTTTAATTAAGATAATTAATATGCTTATAGCATATTCAAAAATATTGTTTGGTGGTTATTTAACCTTTAGTTATGCAGAAATTAATGTTTATAATGTGAAAAGTATTTTTAAGCATATTTTCTTCACTAATATATGCATATTATGCATAATATATTTTATTTTTTTTACTAATCCGACGTTTTCTTTTTGAAGATTCTAAAAAAAAATTCAAAAGCAATATACTGCAGATGTTTTATACATTTTTTTTTTAGTTTCGTTTTAAACAGAAACTGCCAATAGTATCGCAGAATTTCGGAAATTTTATATACTTATGTTGTCTCAAAAGAGAATAGTAATTTCTAAATGCAATTTTTGAAATCAATTGCATCTAAATATATTTTAGCATCTCTGCATGAAATATTTTTTGTCCACCACTCATACTAATTTTCCATTTATACTGATTTAATAAGCATATATATGCATATACATATGTATAATGTATTGAGATCTATGTACATATGTATGTATGTATAATAGGCTGTGTATTTATATAAAAAAGATTCACTTTCAAAATATTGCGTGGGTATTTAGGCATTTACCACAGTGTATTTCCATTTAATATATTTGCTGTCACACACAAAAGAATTTTCATGTTTTTTTGGCGTTTAAGAAAACACGCTCAGTGACGAATGTGTCAAGTAAAGACACGAAGTAAGGAAAATCATAAAAAGATTAGCGTTGATTGTTTTTCGCTCTCTACATAACTGCAAGCATGTTGAATTTTTTTTTTTTTTTTTTTTTTTTTTTTGAAAATTCGAAAACCACCGTGTGATTTTTCAAAGTATCTCAGAGATGAATGAATTATTCGCGGAGAAGAATGTGAAATACATATGTACATACCCACAAACGTTTAAAAATATATAATGTGCACAGCTTCACGGACCTTGAGTGTAGTCAAGCATATATTTATATGCATATAAGTCTAGCGTATGTTTGTATATATGTACTACTACCACTTTTTTTTTAGCTCGACACTAATTTTTATGTTTTTTAATCCAAAATTTTATTTTAATATTTATTTATTTTAAATATTTGCAAACTAATTTTTTTAATTTTGTTCGTTTTTTTATATTTACATACATATGTACATACATAGCTCACACACTTAAGTAACAGTTTATTGTCTTATTTAAAATAATTTTTTTTTTCGGAAACAAAGCATCATCTACATATAAAAATAATGTCTTTATTAAAACACTGACGAGTATAAAACAAAAACAAAAAACAAAAACAATTTTGTGATGATTAACTTCCTTGTTGGCAATTTAAATTAAGCAGCTGAGTTATTGAAGGCAATGTATTGTGACGAACAACCTTCATGTTTTCATGTTTTTTGTAGATAAAGAAGTATTTTTACTTTGTTTGAAATATAAAAACAATTATATAATAGATATATATATGCTCCCTACTTTACTATAATATAAATATTTATCTGTAAATATTATCAATTAATAATGTTGTTTACAACGTTTACACTCTTCGTACATTACATAATTTCCAGAATTAAAACTAAAAAATGTTAAAAACACATCTTCGTTATAGTTGAAAAATCTTTTTTATAAAATATTTATAACTCAAAAAGGTTTTTGTTACCACTGACACGCTTAAAATATTGAATACCATTTTTTTTATTTTCTATCAAGAAATTCTTTAAAAAAAAAACACCCACCTTTTTTATCTAAATATAAAATAAAATATTTATTTACTTAATTTTCACTAGCGTTTCGCTTGAACAACAGACGCAGACTATTTGCAATTGATTTCCCTCAGCACTCGCTGACCATTGAGGAAAAGCTATTTTTTGCCTTTGTCTTGTTTTCCTGACTTTGGTTTTCAACGTATTTTTATTTTCTTTCCTACGGAGAATTGTATCTTCTTTGGCACAATTAATAGATCTTCAATAGTATGAGCATTTGCTCTGACGTATTTGTTGTTCTTGTTTTGACACTCATCGTGCAGATCTTTAGGCGCCGTAAATTGTTTTCTAGTTGAACACCCTACGTGTGGGTTGGTGAAAATCAAAAACAATTTCAGTTGATAAAATATTTTTTCTAATTGTCTATTGTTTTTATGTTTATGGAAGAACGGGAAATAAAAAATAAAATATTTTTCCTTTTCACTACAAGTGGGAGACATTTTTCAGATCTTTCAATTAATTAATTTATATTAATAGTTAGCGCTTTGCAACCGCCGAAGCAATGTACGGCCGATAATCTCCTCCAATTTGTGTTATGTGTCTTTATTTTCTCACAACAAATGGATTAACTTACAATTTATTCCAAACAGTATCCGAATGGCCGATGGATATTTATGAGGAGCTGTGAATTTTATGTCAGAAATACACTTGAAGGTGTTGTCGTTCCCAAGAGAGGGGCGAACGCAACTAGAAAAATAAATGTTCTACAAATTTGAATGTTGGCCAAAACATGACCTGAAATCCCTGGCCTTCAGAATGTCATTCCATCATGCCACTGTGTCGACACTGTCCCATTGACTTCATCAGCATTAGTGAAATTTTTTTTAACTCTCAACTCTTTCATTTTTATAAACAGGTAATAAATACACCCGGGCAGTGGTCTCCCTTTCATTAATTTACGCTGTCTTTTCTCTATAATTTGTCCCTTTTAGCCGCTCTAATATTGAAGCGTTATATATACAATTTTATCCTTATAACCGATCGTACATTATAATATTCCCTCAAAGTCTCAAAAGATCATTGCCTTAAGTAACCCAGCTGACTGTGACGCTTCAGACTTTTTGGAAGGTGCTTTGACCTTTTTATGCCACTGAAGTCTTCTTTCGACTCAGATTCATAATGATGAACCAAAGCGTCGTCTTCTGTATCAAATCGACTGAATACACCATCCTTCTCTTCATTACAGAAGTTCAAAATTGACCTCTGTCATTACACGATCGCTATGCAGGATTTTGAAAATTATTGTATCGGACACTCCAACCGTTTCCGCTATTGTTTCCTTTTACGTCAAGTAGCATTGAGACTTGACTTTTTACATAATTTCTGTCGTGGTCACCTCGCTGCTGCTATCCGGCCCCGGGTGGTCTTCAAGGGATTTTCTACCTTCTTAAATAAACTGTGTCATTTACACAGCATGGTTTTCCCGAACAATAATCCCCGCAAAGTAATGACATCTCATGCATTATGGTCGGAACTGGTTGTCTTGCTTGGTATGAAGCTTTATAACGGCACGATATTCGATTATTTCCCTAAATCTCTTCTCATTCTAATTGCCTTATTGTCTAATAATGAAATCTCGTATTTATGAGTCACTGAAGACGTTACGATCCTAATGTGCCTAATCACCTCTTTACAACCGTCTCATTCCCCGAACATAAGAAAGCTTTAAAAAGTATTATTAAGTTTAAAGTATTTTCGAAATCTCAATTCAAAAAGTTTTCCACAAAGAAATTTTTATTTAGGAGATTTCTATATAACAATAATTCTGTACGTTGACCTAATGGGCAGTAACAATTGCTACTAAATTTTACTGCATTGCGTTCAATGAGGCAAAATAGGCAGTAAAATTTGCATCCGAAGAGCGGAATTTTGACATTTCTCACCGAGCAGTGCTAACACGAGCTAACCTTGATTTGTTTTTCAATCCTTTCAAAAGTAAAAATTAGCTGGTTTTTACCAATATTTTTCCAATAATTATTCATTTTCATTTAGTAAACTTTATTTGATTTTACTTTTTTTTTTTAAATAACAGCTAAAATGTTGATTAATGGCTACGGCTCTTTAAAACATTTACTTTGAAAACTTCACTAAATCCATTTGATACAAAGCATTGAAGGAACCTAAGAATTGCAAATTTTCATATGATATTCTACTATGCTTGCCGTAGGAAACTCGCTCAGTCGATTCTAAAGACAAACATTTTCTCATTGTTCTTTGTTTTTGTGCGCTCTCGAACATTGCTCCGTTGTGACATTTCTCTTGCTGCAATCGAGTGAGAGAGGTGCTATTTATTTACACTATATTTAAACAGATTTTGAAGGCATTTCTTTGGATTGACCAACAAAAATAGCCTTAAGAACAATTAAAAATAGAGTATCTATCAGATGTACACACTTATGTGTGGTACCTACAGTAGAAGTGAAAAATATATATACAATAATTAAGTATAATTTTTTTTCTTCTATTATTTAAGGGGTGGCATGGGTTTATTGAGGGAGAAAGGGGCTATTTTCAACATTCGTTTATTAACATAAAAAAAAAAATATTTTATTACTTTATTCAAACCTTTTACTGTCTTAATGTTAAATTTTTTTTTTAAAATATCTAAAATTTTCTAATGAAAACCTTCATATCTCCTCCATTGTGACGCTATTTCCGGTGATAGAATCATCTGTAGTGAAACAAGAAAAAAGTGTCGCCTTCGGCCATACCGTAGTATTTTTCACTTTAATGTCCACATCAAATTTTGGATATTTTATTTCGGTTTACATATAATATATGTACATATGTATATCAATTCTCATCTGTGAAAAATTGTTTGGGGCGCGCCATTTTTCGATTATTTTCCTTGACATTTCACTCTGTTAGATGCCTTCTTTGGACAAATTATGATTTTAGGATTATGAATTTTGACAAAATCTCAAATCGGTAGTCGGCCGACATGTATCAGTGCATCTGTGTACCAAATTTGTTTGAAATAACTCAAAAACTGAGGGCCTAATTTATGTACAATCAGAAGCACAGACCACCTTGGCTAAATCAGTCCAACTCGTCATTCTGTCAGCATAGGTATAAATTGTGATAGGTCTATCTCGTATC